CCCCCCTTCCCAAAAAAAAGAAAAAGAAAAAAAGGCAAAAAGAAAATGAAATCGACGAACGGAGACAAAAGGAGCGCCCTTTTTTTTCCCTCGGACTTGGCCTTTCTTTCGCGATTTCCCCTCGTCGCTTTAAAATTGCGCGAAGATCCCGCGGCGCGTGTCGCTCGCCCATCGATTTTTCTCCTTCCTCGGGCGAGAAACGCTTTAACGAAGCCGAATGCCTCTTCCTCTTTTCTCTCCTTTTTTTTCTCCTCGCGCGCTCGCGCCCAATTTCGCTCCTGATCGTCGCTCTGCTGCTCGATTTGCTCTTGGTATATATGCGCGCGCTGCTGCCGGTCTGATTTCCTTTTCTCCCTTCTTATCAACCGTTTCTTTACTCGAGAAGCCGGCTTACTTGATGGAATTTTATATCTTGTGAATTGTAGGTTTTTCTTTTTTCTCTCTCTCTCTCTCTCTCGCCACGCTGTTCCGTCGTTTTCACACATTTTCACATTTCTACGGGAATTCCATACGTTATAAAAGCGTGACGAAGAAGGCATTTTTATCGAAGTTATTATTCACACTTGGTTTTAAAATTTCCGAGTACACATTTCACGAAGGTGCAGTGGGAAATGCTTGGCGTTATTTCAATAAATCGAACGCAATATCGTATATAAAAGATGAAATAGTTTACGATGAAAAATTGGAACAAGTTAATTTGTTCGAGCACGCAATGTCAGATGTAGATTACATCGTCCGATGTTAGCGCTAGGTAATTGCAGCAATAATATACAGATATGCTCGATGCACCGTATACGTCGTCGGCAAGCGCACATAAAGCGGCGAGAGCGCGCGCGTCGCTGCAATGCGGCAGTGCTTCATATATCGCAGAAAACGAAACCACCCCTTTGGGACTTGGCTCGTCTTGAAGGCAAACACCGGCGAAGAAAATACACACGTGTTGTATATACACTCGCAGGCAGATACAGGCTGATACACGCCGGCAGTGTGCAGAGCTTTATAAGGGATCCGGGAGTTTACGTTGTTGGTGCCTTGCGCGAGAAACGAAGTGAAGTGCAGCCGCGAGATTTACACGCCGGTTGTTCCGCTGCCAAGCTTCGAAGACTCGTACGGAGCGATGCTACCTACGTCGCCATGTAGCCCGCTGAAATAAGATTTGCTGATGAGAGCGCTTCCACGGCGCGAGTAGTTGTCGCGACTAATTGCTATCTTGGATGCGCGCCTGGCGCACTTAGTTTGGCAAAAAAATATTTTAGCGAGAGTAGTGCGAGCACGCCCTTGGCGAGTCGTTGACTTACGTAGCATTTTGCCAAGTTTAATTGCAGTTGATTGTAGCGTTGAGTACAACGGAATTACACGGAATCACTAAGAATTGCTTTGATGCAATTTCCGCGATTTGTCTAAAAGCAAAATTTAATCAGATTAGAGAGGGAGAGAGAATAGTCTGATGAAAATGAAATTAGCGAATGAAATTAGAAATGTAATACGCAAGCAAAGCGATGTTAACGAGCTAGGGCGGAGGAGACGTTGGTGGAAAAGGCAAGATGAAGAATGCGAGTTGAGACAGTATAATGTCGGAGACAACAATCAGGACGATCTAGTTAAACGTTATAAGGATATCTCGAGCTAAGAGGCGTGCCAAGCGTTGCATAAAATTAAATTGTACCCCGAGAGTCGCGAAGTTATATTGTCGATCCTCTTTGGCTTGCTCTCGCCACCCTCGTACCACCCTGTACCATCTCCGTAAGTCAACTCACCTTACTTTATTGCATTTTTCACGAAAATTATTACTTAATTCCGAGGAAATATTCCTTTTTAAATTGTGACGGAGTTTTCATACTTTGGCGATTCGTAAATCGGCTTTGCTATCAATGGCTCATGGCGAATTCGTACTTTCTCCCCGACAGCTTCAGAAATAGCATACAGTTATTGCATACTACAACAAAACATTATTCCGTGAATACTTTTACGATTCAGGTCCAAAGACAAAATTATCAAATCTTACGGTAATTACTGTTTTGGCAAACTATGACAGGAGTATGAATGCTCTCACAAAGTGTTTCCCATCGTATCGTCAAACGCACGCGTGTACTTGAAATCGGCGGAAAATTAACGAGCAAAGCCGCATGAAAAACGAAAGTACGCCAAAGAGGAAGTAGTAAAGAAAGCGAGGGAAAAATTACGTTGAAAGCAGGCAAACAAATGACCGCTAAAAGTATGAGAGAGAAGGGAGTGGGCGTGTTGGTGCCTCATTAGGGAAACCGAGGCAATATAGAGGGGAAACGTACGTGCCCAGGCTGTACGAGGTATACGTGTGATATTCATATTCTTGGCAAGGGTTAGCGCTCGCGGCTGCTTTCTGTGGGTGTGGGTAAGAAGGAAGGAAACCGCGCCAGGAGCGTCGGGAGCACTGGTTTGCACCACTGGTCCGACGCTCGAGAGAGAGACTACTGGGTATTCTAACCCTCCCGCTCGCCTAGCCCCAGCATCCGATGTTTCTACCTGCATGTGCGTGCCTGTGTATGTACCTATGTGCATCGTTGCGCGCGAGAATCTTCCAAGAATTGTGTGCAGCCTTTAACAACTGCGGCTTTGTCTAATTGCAACTTTGTCCAGATTTCATCGCACCACTTGTTTGTTTGTCTTACGCTGCGCTGGATTCTGCGCATCCAAACTAATTGTCTTTCTCGTCATAAAATCTTTTTTCAATTCTTACAATTCTTTCCGATATTTTTTTAGAATGCCGTTCAAATCGAGAGAACAATATCGTGAAAAAGTTATCCGTTAGACAACTGCACTCATTCTTGAAATGTCGATCTGCGAAAAACGAGCAACAATAATAACGGCCACCATTTCGCGAAAAGTTTTCGCATACGCAGATATCATGGTATGCAGATGCAGTTATTCTAACATTTAAACAGTCACGCCTAACCGTGGCAAAGTTCAATTTCAAGGTAGATATAGTTATGAAGTGTGTTTTCTATTTTTTATTAGGACGAAGCCCCCGGCAGCGACGGCATTCTTTCTAGCTATCTCTCTCTCTCTCTCTCCGCGCGATATTTCTTATCCCAGCGCACGTATAGGCTGCAGCCACCGCTTGGTTAACAAGCTAAGCGCAAAGTTTACCAATAAATTGTACAAGCGGGCGGTCGGAGGGGGACGGAGAAGGGGGGCATATCGCAGAACGCGCGAGCGAGCTTCAACTCGTTTGGCAAGCTGCGAGTAGTGCTGAGCGCGTGCCGACGCGATCGTCTGTGTGTGTTCTCTCTCTCTCTCTCTCTCTCTCTCTCTCTCTCTCTCTCTCTCTCTTCTGCAGATATTTTCCACAAAACTTCCTCCTCCCTCTGAAGTATCAGCTTCTCCGGATTCTTCCTCGGCTGCGAAGATAGTTCGGACTAATTGCTTGCGCTCTAAACTTTCTTCGTCATTCGATAACGTTCGCTCCGCGAAAACGAAGATAACGGAGACTTTTTTTTCTCGCCGTGGACAGAGCGCATTTTACGAGTGGGGTTTGCCTTGACACCGGTCAATTCGGTTTCGGCTGAATGTCCAAACTCTAATTCATTGAATGAAATCGGCAATGACTGCGATTATCCGCGAAATCTTATGTCGTCGCGTCGTCAAACTGGAAAAACACAATTCCAGGCCTAATTAACATTTTTCCTTTCCTCGTCTATTTTCTTCCCCACAAGTCAGCAACACACGCCGGGGCAAGAAGATTATAATTTTTCAGATCACAGGTCTCCGGGCTATAATTAATTCAGGCTAGTCGTTCGAGCGACACGCGCGCGCTCGACGTCGATGGCTCAACGGCGACAACAACCGCAGATAGAAAGAGCGACTGTGTGGATGAATTGTCCGGTCTAATCACACTCAGTCGGGCATCATCGCCTGTGTCATTACTGGGCGCGGTGGCGGCGGCGGCGGCGGCGACACATTGCACGCGCGCGCAGTTCGAGTGGCATAGAGGGACAACTCGATTTCATAATGGAGTCACGTCGCACATCGGTTACACAATCACAATGCTAAGCCGACATAATGGCCGAGATACGAGGCTGGGGCAAAAAAAAAAATAAGAATAAAATATAAAGAGAGCCCCTGGCCCCGTTCGCATTCGGTTTGGGTTTGTGGGCTCCGACGCCGCGAGCAACCGTCACTACAAGCCCGAAAAATCGTTTACACTTCGTGGGCACGTACAGCTTCGTGCGTGTGTCTGTGTGGCTGTCGCATGCTATACCTATATGAATAATTTTTTTGCTGATTATAAAAATTTACCAAGATCTTCTCATGGGGTTTGGACGGTTTATTCATTATGATATGCTAAATTGTATTATTAAAACATTGAAATATTCACCAACCTTTTATTTTATTAAAGTGGTCGTCAATCTTCATTTATATTGCAGAAATTATTGTATCTGTATTCTACACAATTTTAATCATGTAATAAAAGAATGATTACTTTGGATATATGAACGCCACTGATAAATTGTAGATGAATAACATTCAGAGATCAACGTTATTACGATTACTAGCTTTCTCTCTACTTTTCACTTTAAATATTAATGTACTGACTCGACGGTGTTTATTTACTTTATTCGAATCTCGTATGCCATGAGGACTAATTATAAGTTCAAGTGAATTAAGACATAATGTAACTAAACTGAAATATTTTGTCAAAGTTCATTGTGTTTATTTCGATGAGCGAACCAAATGTTAAGGTAATTATTTTTTACAGAAAAACAAAATAGAAAATAAATTTTTAGAAAATAAAATGTGATAAGATATATATTGTATTGTTAATTTATGTATATTTCATAAAGAATATAAAAAAAATGTCAAGGGATCGATACTCATTGATGCCTTTGAAAACCGTGATGTTTTCTGGTTTTGCTTATCTACGTGTTTTTCAATGAATATGAGCAAGAAGAGAGGGCATACGTCAGCAGTTTTGAAAGTTGGATTAACGTCGATAGTATCGATTGATCACAGGAATCTCGAATCTACCTGAAGTAAAATCGTCGGTATACTTGAAGCAGTGCGCTCGAACTTTCGTTAGACGGCCAACGAAACATAAATCAGCGTTTGTTACGCACGAGTTTCCCTCAAGCATTGTCACGATTACCAGTGTCTTTTGCAAAAGCTGAGCATCGGTTCGGCCGGACGAGAGCGAGCGAGCGATTTCGTGCGTTCGCATTGTAAGTATACTTCTTGTTTCGAGGGAAAAGAAAATGAAAACACTCGTTGATTCGATCGATTCAGAGGCCTCTGGTTGTTTTGTAGAGAAGGAAAATGTCAAGCATTTTTTGAGCTACATCGGTATTGCTTCGTATTCTTACGTAATATAAAAGCAATTGTTAATTACAATTAATACTTCCGCCGGATCATAGATGCAGGTAAATCATTTAATGTGTGTTACGTGAGATTACTCTATGGCAAATTATACTCGCAACCAGTCATATCTTTATAACTGATTTCTGAAATGTCTAGTGTAGTGAATACATTATATAGAATCTTTTGACATCAATTGCAATGTAAACAATAATATTCGACGATAATATTTGAGTCAATCCTTGAGATTGTGCTCTTTACTATCGAAAAGTACTTATTTTTCAAATAACAATGTATTTTATTTTAATTAAAATCAGTGTGGCTGTTGGATATTTGGCTTGCCATAAAGTTCATTATTATTAAATGTGCAATTGCACGGATTCAGTGACTTAATATTTCATACAAATTTTTAAGCAGAATTATTGAAGAAATGAAGATATATAATTCTGATGTAATAATTGTAAGCGGCGCAAGAGGTGAAAAGAGGCCATCCAATCCCGAACTCTCTTCGTTACAAAAAGCATGTCTGCAAGGTGACGAAGGTACAGTTGAAACGTATCTTCGGAGTTACGCAAACGTGAATGATCATTACTCTCACAATATAAAATTTGATTTGATTGTTAAATTGGTATCTTCGGAGATTATAATTGACCTGGAGTATCTAGATGGATTTACTGCGCTGCACTTTGCGGTTCTAAGGACGGAACCCTATAGAATTATGAAATTACTTTTGGAACATGGAGCAGATATAAACGCCGTAGATGCAGAAGGCAGAACACCCTTACACATAGCGTGTGCGTTATACGATGCAGCTTCTCCTTCTATCTATGACCACGTTAGAGTTATGGAATTTTTAATAGAAAATGGCAGTGACCTCAGTGCAAAAGACCGTCATGGCAATACTCCCTTAATGACTATTTTCGATTTAAATCAATTTATTTCATTGGAACGTAAGAACGAATTTCTGCCGATCGTTAACATAAGAGACAAGTTAAAATGTTTAATTAAACATGAAGTCGATGTCACAGAAACTAATTCTTACGGCGATAATATCTTGCATATTATCATCGAGAATGCGAGTTACTTACACCTTTATGGTTGTGAACTGTTCAACCTATACTACGATTACTATGCGGAAATGCTCCAGCTAGTTTTGAGAGTCAGTGAGAGAATTGACATGAATGCCAAGAACGACGATAACCTGTCTCCCCTGGAAGTAGCAATTACAGTTGCCAAACCTTCTTTGATCAAGGTTCTTCTGGATCATGGTGCTGATTTGCACAGCATTGAATTAGATGTTATCGAATTTGATTATCCTGACTTTACACACCCAAATCTAGATTTTATACAGGACTTGATTTCTATGCTTGAGCTATTGTCAAGCTACAATTTCGAATTTAGTTGGAAAACTAAGCTTGAGATTTTGAAGTTTATCGCACACGAGGATTCCTATTGTCACTGTGCGCACAACCCAAATTTTAATGAGGGTTATTTCTTGTATCAAATGGCGAGTGTTTTAAATCATGCCTCTCCACGTCACGCGTACTACGTTTTAGATAAGTTTCTTGAGCTAATGCAAAGCGACCCAAATGAACTATACGTAAAGGCAGAAATTTTTTTAAGTATGGTGCTCCTAAATTATTCTATGACCAGAACCGGTGGGATATACGGAGATCGTGTTTTTCTTGAAATAGTAAACCAACTTTTGATCGAGCACCAGCCTGAACAAGAGTTATTGGAGAATTGTCAAGCCGAACGTAAACGCATGGAGTCTATAATATTGAAAAGCAACAAGTCGCTAGCTTATCTTATGTCAAAAAGTCCCTATACTATCTATGAATACGTCGTAAAAGAAAAAAGCAACTTTATGAAAATTGCGTGCAATTTTAAAGTCTATGGAGACGTCATTAAAGGGCACGTGACCCAATGTCTCGTTAGACGTTTATTGGAAACGTCAGCTTGCGATTTTTGGGTAAACTTGACAGGTTATGCACTACCTTTTCATTGTTGTCAACTCGTATTTTCCGATCTCACCAACGAAAATATTTTGAATATATGCATTGCATCATTGTAGGCTCAAACGAACGCGAATGGATGTTTCAAGTTTGCACAATGTTGTCGTTAACATTAACGTTAACATTTCTACATTTGTGACTGAAATTGGTCGCGAGAAATGGAGAATTGTTATGTGCATCACTTGTTGCAGTGAACATTTATCGTACGTTGTCTTACACTGAACAATCTTATTATTCCAGAAATATTAATGCTTTTTTCTCCATCTTTTATGTATCGACATGTATTGTGAAGTTTTATTCTACCATCAATGTAAACGCACAATGTAAACGCAAATGTTTTTAAGTTAGAAAAACGTGTGAAAGTCTAGTATACCAAATGCGTATAAAAAGTTGAGGTTTGATTGCCCATAACGATTTTATAAAACTTATTATTTTATAATGAGTAAATATTATTAAATGAAGACAGCTTATAAAGAAATATTTAAAACACTTCATTTTTGTTTTCCATATCATTTTTTATACACTAATAGAACATATTGATTGATAGTTTAAATTTGTTTAATTATTATTTTTTTACAAACGTACTAAATCTGTTAATGACGGTATTACCTTACAATTGACTTATTCAATATTTACTAATAAAAGCTAGTGTAGACACTGTTAAAAGTTAATAAAACGAGTGAACATTAAATATGTAGACTTGCATTACAATATTGAATTGGAAGTCTTACTGATATTTAAAAGCTTGGAACAACGTAGCACTGACGTAGCGAAGTTGCGATTTAACAATTATCGTGCGATTTGTGTAAGATAAGCCTACTTACTAAAAAATGACAAAATTGTACATTATGAGATATCTTACGAAGGATTTGATTCCGCTTTCGAACGCGTTTCCCGCCGTTCCAGAAATACGGCAATACTTTGTGAATGGTGTCGGAGCGGCGTGCGGCATATATCCTATCCCATTAAAAATAATCCGGTAATGCGGAGGGATCGCGCCCATTGAAAGCCGCTGAACTCTGTAATGAAGTAAGTTATCTGCTAAGAATGGCATTTGCGCGGGCGCGCACGCTTTCGTCCTTATCTCCTGCCTAGTCCTCGCTGGCGCGCGCGCGCGCACGCGCTATACACGCGAAAATTCCTTGCGGATTCGCAGTCATCGCACTCTGAAATTATTCGATTCACTGGTCCCGAGGAGCCATCACACATCGCTCGCGCGCGCGGTTTTCTCCGTCGCTCGACCGACTCCAACTCATCTTCTCTCCTGAATTTATCCCTTCCATTCGCCCGGTCTCACGTCTCGTTCTGTGCCCGCTCCCAACTTATCTAAATTTGTTTCTTCGCTTGCGGCTTCCAAATCACTTTTCACCCTGCGAGTTTTCAAAGTCCTAGATTATTGTCAACGAATTCCAATGCCGGCGCTTAATAATGCCTCAAATTACGCTACAACTTCTACATTTATTATATTCAATAAGTGCAGCGACATTGCCGCGACGCTGCGAATCGTCCGAAAGAAAGTGTCGCTCTAGATAAATGCAAAATAAAAATGCGAGAGTCGAGTAAGACATCCCGTGAGCGTATTGCGAAGAGCATTCTATATACGGTCCGGCGGCGTCAGTCCTTCGCTGTAAAATATCTTCGAGAAAGAGAGGTAGAAGAATGGACGTAACCGCGGCAAAAGTTCAGTGATTCGATGGCGATTTTAATGTTAGACAAAGTGCTTTTCCTTCTTCTTTCAAGCCCCTGTGCCCCGTACATTATCGATGTTCCGAACTGTGCATAACTCTATATGTGGAAAAGCTTCACGGCCCTTTGTCTGATGGATATTTGCATTTCTCATTTACCATTTTTATGTTTCGATCGACATTGCAAGTGAATAGATAGATTTTTACCAAAGTTAATCGTATCACAACTACACCCACTTTTCCATTCACGAAACAAACGGCAATATAAGTCAAGCAGATTGATGACGTTTCAACGATTTTGCCTCGAAGAAAAAAAAACCCAATGAGCTGCGAGTATGTTACGTTTTGTGAATGCGAGGCTTGCGCGTGCCGTTTCGGCATATGTACATAGGTATATGCGATGTGTGTATGGCAACGCGTGTCGAAGAAGAAACGAATTACACTCACACTCTCTGAGCTCAAATCGATTCTTCCAGCGTATTGCGCCGGCCACTTTGAATGCACAGACGCGTGAAAGACCGATCGCGCGAGGCCTGCTACCCCCCGCGGAATTCGTTGCTACAATATTTACGGGACTTGAGTCAACCGCTGGAAGTGAAGAGAAGGCCGCTGACGAGTGCTACTTAGCGAGCATTATTGGAGGCAAAAGGCAAACATCGCGGATTACTTGGACGCCCCCGTCGGGGATGCGCTAATTATTTCGATAATGCACGTCCGTAGCCGCGCGAACGAGGAGAGAAAGCAAAGCGAAAATGGGTGCGCTTGCCGTGGCGAAAAGCGCGGCATTATCTCGGTAATCGGACAACGAGAAAAAGACAAAGGCGAGCCGGTGCGGGCGTGGAAGGGGAGGACAGGAACGAAGGCGGCTCTCTATCTCTCTCTCTCTCTCTCTCGGTTTCCGCGGCATGCGCGCAACCCGCAAATCACTCGCTCGTGATTTTCGCGCGCGCACACCTCGCTGACTGCTCGAGATTATTGCGCGCGCGGGGCTATAATGGTCGCGGGTGTAATAACGCGTGTGCACCTGCTAAAACGAGAACTGACCGCGCGCCCGCGGCCACACGCCTGGCCACTGTCTCGTGATTAGCGAATGTGCGACAGAAAGACAAAGAGAGAGAGAGAAAGAGAGAGAGAAGCCACCCTATCGCTCAGTGCGATTGAACGGCCGTGTCCTTTAATGCTGAGGCTTGCCTGCGCTCTTTCTCGGACTCGACAGATTTGGCCGCAATCAAATACGATTGCATTTGTCATTTCGATTTTTGTTGCTGATTGTCTTTTGATCGCGGACAACTTTGCGGCAACCAAATTTCCCATTGGCAATCGCCAGATGACAGTCGCCTGAATTCGATCGAGATCTCTAGAGGAACGACCGACTGCCGCTTGAAATTTCGGAACTAAATCGAAATTTACGAAGAACAAAAAGAAAAATTTTACGGTCAATTTGGGAGGAGAGTGAGCGCGATTGTGCGCGACAATTCTTGCATAATTATTGAAAAAAGCGCGTCAACCCCTCCGACACCTCGCAGCGACCACAGCCAACAAAAACACTTGGACGAGAAGAAAAAAAAAAGCTTTTGTCGGCAGCCAACTTCAGAGAGAGAGAGAGAGAGAGAGAGAGAGAGAGAGGAGAGAGAGAGAGAGAGAGAGAGAGAGAGAGAGAGAGAGAGAGAGAGAGAGAGAGAGAGAGAGAGAGAGAGAGAGAGAGAGAGAGAGAGAGAGAGAGGAGAGAGAGAGAGAGAGAGAGAGAGAGGAGAGAGAGAGAGAGAGAGAGAGAGAGAGAGAGAAGAGAGAGAGAGAGAGAAGAGAGGAGAGAGAGAGAGAGAGAGAGAGAGAGAGAGAGAGAGAGAGAGAGAGAGAGAGAGAGCGTTCTCGTCCAACAATACTCGAAGCTCTGGCTTTTCCGTCCTAATACCTCCGAAGTGCAGCACGCATTTTTTTTTTCGTCTGCGCTCGTTCGCTCATTAAAAACACGGCTCCCTCCTTTCTTCGCTCTCGACGGCCCCCCGCAACACACGGAGCTGTGTGATATTTACAGGGCTGGCCGCACGAACGAGCAATTTTCACCTAACCGAGTGAGTTCCGATGGGCCCCTCTCTTCGATCATATTCACGTGTGCTTGTAATGAGCGCACGTACATACGTCAACGCCTCTTTTACTTTATACACGCGATTTCCAAATGAAACAATGGAGTACCGAATGATTTTTATTTCAGGACCGTCTCCGGGTTTTTCCACGTTACTCGAGCTATTTGACAAAATGCAACGATAAGCGGGCGTAATTCTTTTGTTTTATAAATATGAAATACTTTTTATCGCTTGATTTGAAAATTATAATTTTCATTGAGTATACTGAAACGAACATATATTTTAAAAGTTGTATTCCTAATGACACCAGGCTTTGGATGTTTCGATGACAGCCGTTCATTAAAATATTTGTCTGTATAATGCGAAATTTTCGATATTTCTGTCAGCAATTGATTCTGAAACTGATACCTCAGAATTGGTGTTGTGAAAATTACGGAAAATAAGCGCGAGTTCTCGAAGTTGTTGAAGCTTGAAAACTGTTAAAGCATGTTCGCCCCAGACCAATAATTCTGTCGATCTTTGAAAACCCGATAGTGTTAGGATAAGTTAGAGTAAGTTAACGCGTGGTCTCGGTGAAAAAATAAGAATGTAGAGTCGGAAACGAGGGATGGTGGGGGGAGGAGGTAAATAAAGTTTAAAATTTCCGTAGCTACGAGTCCCTCTGCGCGATCTCATTCTCCCAAAATATGCAGTTATTCCGAGTTCCTCGCACCAACTCTTTACATATACATGTATATAAAGTCAGCGCGACGTTCTGGAGAAAAGCTGCGAAGGGAGGGTATATAAGGTGAATATCATGAGCGGGATCCCTTCTTGGTTAAAGGTCCACTACGGAGGGTGAGACGTTAAATAACCGGACTTTTGGATTTATAGTAATACTTTTATGAAATAATGTTAGTGGCGGATATTAAGGCCGACACCGGCTGGCTGAGCGCCATGCGCGCCGGGCGCTATCTCCGTCGTGACGTCCTATGCGCCCCGTGCATGCAAGAGAGCAGCCTCGTAATTCAACCTGACTTCCGCGCCGAGAGCTTCTTCTCGCGCTCCACTTTTCCACTTTGGAGCCGATGTTTATCGCTCGTTTGCGTAACAAGAAAGGGCCTGCCCGTCCCCCTCGCGCACACGGAACTTGCAAGTACTTTTCGCTTATACGTCGCTTCGCTTGCTCTCGGCGCACGACGTACAAATTACGGCCTGATTATAAAGATACACTTTTTTTTCCACTCTCTCTTTTTAATGCATCTCTACCGCTGACTTTCCGAAGCTTGCCCTGGCGAATTACGCGAATTACTTACCGACACGCACTTTTCTGCTTTTAATTTGCAGCTCACTGAATTCGCGCGCCGGAACACTGCGAATCGCCAACTTGCATTGCAACGATTAGTGCCGAGGTTCATGCGTGGGCTACGTCGATGTCAAATGCAGCGTAAAATCAAAATGAAACGGTGCGATGTACATCCAGTCCCGCGGGTCGTCTGAAATGTTCGTGATGCAGGCGCTCGCGGGGTGCGGCAAAAACATGGCATTTAATTAGCAAAATGTCAGCGCGGAGAGAAAGACAGCCTCCAAATAATAATATATATACATACGCATAACAAGAGCAGCCTTGCTGCGCATCTGTTTCTGATTATTAATTAGCCTTGCGCTCCGCGGAGGCGACTTTCGCGCATCAGCGAATCCGCGCATATATCTCTAGAGTTGAATTTTAGCGCAGCCCTCGCGCGCGTTTAAGCTCCCTCTTCTGCGCCCCTCGCCTCTGCGCGCTTTTGCGAAAGCGATTTTTACGTGATTCTGCCGAATGATCACGGGACAATTTCGATGATTAAAATGAAACGCTGGCTGGGTAATTGATTATGTACGGCGGGATGAGTGCCTTTACGCGTGCGTTCCAAATATTAAAATATCAGAGCATATGTTGTTGTGTTCTTTTCTCGTTTGCAGATTGATGAATTCTTGAGAATAAATGTTTATGCTCAAGTCAATGCTTAAGAAACAATAACATTTGAGATTCACTCGTATTTGTCATTGCTTATTTTCCAATAAATTTTAGATTTACAAACTGAAGTCAAGTTTCAATACGAGTAAAATTGCGTTGTACTAATGGATGTAAGCTAAATTATAATAACTTAATCACTTAGAGTAGCACGATTATCTACTTAACTTCTTGAACATCCATTCAACTTAGCAAAATAATCTTTGTTCGGATTAAATTGCTTAAAAAAAGATGAAAACTTCTTGAGATTGCCTACATTCATTACTAACTGTCGTATGATAACTAATTTGTCGAAATTTCATAAGATACTCATGATAATCTAAGTAAACACTTTTTTGATAGAAACTTGATTAAAACAAAGTTTTCACGTTTCTTTGCTAACTTTTTCTATCATCCTGGTTAATTTACAAACGCGATTGTAGAGTTAAAACTCTATATATATATAGTTTATAGTTTCTTTTGAAATATGCCTGGAAAAAGAAAACGAATTTTATTTGTTATTTCAATGTTATTAGACTAGAAATTGATTAGTAGCCGTTCAGAAGCTTTTTGCCTAAGACATCAAATTTTGAGCAATGGGACTGTAGCGAGATTATCAAGGTAAAAAAACAATTGTTCGTTTAACATCTGGGTGTACCTGTTACTGTACAAAATGCGAGCAATGGTAACAAATATAAATCTACTATATTATCATTATTAATATAAAAATATATTATTTGATTATGATTTTCACCACGGTACACGTCTGACGGTCGATCTCTTCATATGTACAGAAAATCTTTGCGTATACATTTGCGTATGTTATTTTTAATTTATACCTCAGCAGATGCAAATGTATCAGTGCAAACTTAGAACAAAATTAGTATTGTGATTAGAATTCCTTAAATGCATATAAAACATTATTAAACTTCGTTCGTTTATCGCAATTTAATTTTCCGTCAAGCATGAACTTTCACAAGCGTTACGAATTAGAAGCTCAGAAAATATTTTCTCCTATCATCGTTTAATTTCACACTGAAACATTTATTGATAAACTATAATTAAAAAATATATTCTAAAATGATATTTAAAATAATTTTCACTAGATATATAGCCATGTTTTTAGTATTCGTCAAAATACAAGATATTATTGATTTTTTTAAAAACCGGATTTAGGTAAAAATGACAAAGTTCATGAAATTTTCGAATATAGTGCCGCCATCTGTACGAATAATACTCGACTAATTTTTTCGAAGAGCCTTTCCGCACCACTAAGGACCATAGGGAATATTCCTGTGAGGGTCTGTCTCCATAGGGCCTGCCTGAGTCCGTCCGAGCCGGCCGAGATTTTTTATGGGCACGCCATCTCTATAATTTCGTATCCAATGGCGAGTTTCATAGTGAATGGCTGCGTTTACATAAACGAGCCCGATCGGACGCAGCCAATACGAGAAACGCATGAACACGAAATTATAGAGATGGCGTGCCCATAAAAAATCTCGGCCGGCTCGGACGGACTCAGGCAGGCCCTATGGAGACAGACCCTGATGTTCTTGTACCGTGTGATTTTACACCTCCCGGAACATTAGTATAGTTAGTTCCTATACGTATTCATTGATTTAAGAAGGCGCAAAGTACGCCCATCTCATGAAAAGATACAGTCTCAATGGTCCGTCTTCTTAACTTAACACAGAGTATGTACACAGATGTAGATGATGAACTGTACGAATGTTCTGGGAGATACAAAATCACAATCACATACGGCCCAAGAACATCACAGGAATATTCCTTAACAATCGTGACCTGACCACCTCGACAGCTATGTTTTTTAATGTTACGAAGTTTTGCTAAAGTGGTATATATTGATACATGTCCAAATAATTAAATTACCCAAGCAGCAAGAATTGTTTCCAAAATGTTTCTGCAACATACTTTTTGCAACATTGCACCTTTTCCCGCAACAAAAAAAAATGTTGCAGAAACGTTGCCACAACGTGCAAAATGTCCGCTTTTGTTTGAGAAAAAATGTTGACAAAACGTTGTATCAAATAATTCGTCATGCGTTTTCAAAACATTGACACAACTCATTTTTAAGAACCATTTGACAACCATTGCACAATGTTTTTGCAACATTACAGAAAATTCACATCGGCAAATCAAATTGTTGCTGAAACGTTGGCACAACTTTTTCTCAACGAATAAACGAAACGTTGTCGCGACGAGGATATAACAAGCTTACACAATTTTTTCAGAAACATTGTGAAAACGTGTCTCTGATGTTTCCTCTCTGACAGGCTGTCGTGCGAAATGTTGCTGTAATATTTTTCAAAGGTTGCAGTGATCAATCGTAAACTCTGTCGTAACAATTAACGAAGAGTAATATTTTAATTTGTAACATTTTGGTAACGTTATGGAAACGTCTCTACAACGTTTCAATGTATTGGACTGGGATGCAAAACATTCTTGCAACATTTTTTAATGGTTTCTGCAACCAATGAAAAACGTTGCAGAAACAGTTGCTAGAAAATGAGGGAAAAACCAACAATCCACATATATATATATATATATATATATATATATATATATACATATATATATATATAACAGAGGTAGCTTAATGTGTTCATGATCAAAACTTCTTTTATTTTCTATCCATTCAAAATCTTATACAATAGGAGTATCAAAATTTTACCGTACCATAATAACCTACTTATCACGTACATTATATGCGCATATAATAATAATTTTGAATTTCGCAATTACTCAAGCAATGTACAAACATCTAATTAGTAATTATTCAATACATAAATAATGTTATAATTCAATCAATTTCCTCACGAAATATTAAGACTAAAAAAAATGTACGTAACTATTTAAAAATTAAAATTAAATATTTTACTTCAACTATAATTAAAACATCATAATCGAAACTAATCTATTTCATTGCTAAAATAATAAATAGATTTTTTGGCACCTTACGCATCAAATTATATACGCATAGTTATAGGTAACTTTTCATAAGTAACTTAATTTTCTTATATTATTAATGAAACAAAACGCATTTGTACGTTTAATATGATAGTTAAAATTATTGGAATATTGTCAGGATAAATATTACTTTCATTCAACAAATCTATTTTTCCAAATCTTCATCATTATCAATGAAATCTTCAATAGTTTTCTTCTTCTTTCTAAAATTAATATATTATGGGAATAAACAAAAGTTTATTATTTACGTTAAAAACTGTTTAGTGCTTTTATACCTTTCACTCTTTTTTTTCTTGCGATTCATACGAAAAGGTGCTTGTCTCAACCACGTGCCGCAACTGTTTTCTGCCATTGCGAATGTGAACTTCTGCTCTGGATGATCTTTAAATCTTTGAACTGCATTATCTTTAAAAACCATTCTAATTAGTTAATAATAATAGCAAATAATTTGTAGGTATCTATTCAGTGAACAAATACATGCCTTTTATAATAGTCCAAATATCAGTTTTAGAAAAAGCAGCCTTTTTGACGCTATTCCCGACAAAACAAAAATTAGAAGCTATCTTGTCTGTTACTGCTTGTTCGAGCATTCTTACACAAAATTTATGTCCAGTTGATTCTCCTTGGTCGTAAAAAAAATCTTTCTAAAAAATACGATAAGAACTTTTATTTATTTAAAAATAAAGGTTCATCTCAACACTATACTAAGATAAAAATCAAGATAAAAATCTCACGACTGCACATCTGTAGGTTTCATTCTGTCCCAACAAATCTTCATTTTTCTTGAAGTCTCTCATGGTGTTTATCGGAAAATGATCTCTAAGACCATTGAACTGGTAACCGGAGGATGAAGGCGTTGTTTCTACCATTTGTTGTAATTTTATTCCATTAATAAGTCTATTCTATGTTCTGTATCTATTCTGTGGAAAAGTTCTTGCGACTAACTTACTAATTGTGTAATACAAAAATTATTGTTCTACTTAACAATATTTATCATTTCATTCTTGTTCTAATATATTGCTACACTTAATTACTTAGTTTTAATATAATCCTTTTATACTTCTAATGCTCTTTAGTTGTCAGAAATATTATCATGTACCGTATGAAGTATTGGAAAAACCACTCTCTTATTTTTGTAAGGCAATATGAATGCTTTTGCAGTAATCTGATTAATCTTCCAAAATGTCACTGGATTATTTTTATTATCTTTGATTATATTGATACCAAACTTACTAGAGGAACAATGATATGTGTAGAACGGAGAAATTATATCTAATTTTTGTCCAATTAAGTAGGTTTCAATATTGTAGACAATGAAGTTCAGAACTTTTACTACGTGCTGTTGATCGATATAGACGTAACTATTTTTGTCGTAATCACAGTTTATTTTGAATGAACTAAATTGTCCAACTTTATACTGCAAAGCATTTGTAAATTCATTTATTATCGGGCCACTATAATGCAACTGCTTAAAGGTTGGTAAATTTTTCATCATTACAGCTTGTCGATTTATTCTTGACATTTTCAAGTTCTGTACATCTGCGCATTAGTTGCTGAAGCGGCTGATTCCCACTTCGAAGCATTCCTTTTATGCGTCCAATGCAGTTCTCGAATCTGAAAGCTGAAAAATTATTTAATTCTCCATACTTCCTAACATCGTCAGCTATGTGCAAAAGACTATGTACGTTGTGAGAAACATAACGGCGGCCATACAATTTTTGAAATTTTTGAACAAAGCTAATCATCAGTTTTTCAGCGTAATTAATCCAATCACTTTTCTTACACATTCGGGGATTACTGAAGATAGTTGTACCCATATGTAAAGTTAAAAAATTATTGTAGACATCTTCATTTACGTAGTCTTTTAAAAAAATGACACCTGTGTAAAGTAGAATTTGTCTCCATTCTGTTGCTTTGAAAAACTTGATGTCTGATAAACTTCTTGATTTGCGAGCAAATTCGTATGGAATATGATCTGCTAATTTGACCATGGCATCTGAAATACGTTTTATAACGACCGACGGCAATTTGTTAATAATAGGAGCAAATAACAAGATTAAAAATAATTTGCGACAAACGCCTAAATAGATTAGATGCATTGGATCTAGTGGAATTTGCGTTATCAGACGTAACTTCGGAATCTGTCTTAATATGGTTCTCCTTTTTTGAAATGATTTTCTTTTATCTTCATTCCAGTAAGCGAACGCGTTGAATTTCTCATCAGTACGTAAGGTTGATATACCTCCAGGAAAACAAACGCATTTATTGCTTTCACCGAAAATTTCACACTTGGTGCAACTACAGAAGCCACTATGACACTTTATGCCTAGTATGTAAGCCTTAGCAGGCGCATCGCATATTACACCGTCTATCGTTACATTGTAATGAATATTTGTGACAGTGGTACCATTATCAATGTAGTTTTTTGCTTCTACTACGAAAAACTTTAAAAATTCATCTGGATCTTCTGGCTTGCAACGTCCGTTAAATATGCCAATAATATATACATTTTTTTCAAGTACATCTGAACATAATATTGGCCATAACGTTTTAGCAGTACTGTTACCCATAGGAGCGCCGTCGATATTGATTAATAACCCGATGTTAGTACTTTTTATCTTTCTTAATCTGCGATCTATGATGATTTTTTCTAAACACGAATGTAAACCGAAATGACAGTAATCTCCTCCATTTATTTTATGTATCTCTGTATGCTGAGGAGTTTTCATAAGCGTCCTTGAATCTAGTGGCAATTTCAATAGAGGAGTGTCGTATCGCAATCGGTGCAAGAAATCGGTAAATGCTGTTTGAGTAATAAGATTATCTGCGGCCCAACTAGGAAGTAAGACTTTTAGTTGTTCTGATACAATTTCAATATCGCTTTGCCTAGATTCAAGAGGTATAGGACTAACAATATTTGACGTACTTGTAAATTTAAGATCCAGAGAACAATCTAAATCGGAGTCAGAGTCCTCGTAATCACTATATCGGTATTCGAATTCGGGATCTTCAAGTACTGTATCTTCATCTATGTTGTCCCATTCACAGACTTTAGTAATCTCTTTAACGATGTCAGAATTAACTTGATTGGTTTTATCAATTGATGCGTTAATTGAAATATCGTCGATAATTCCCTCGTTATTATATGGCAGCGCATTTTGTAACCCATTTCCATCAAATAATGCATGAGTTTCATCTGTACTTATTGTAGCTTTTTGGCTTTCAAAGTAATTTTTCATCGACTGTCTAATGTTTTCTAAAGAACCATCTTTTTTTTTTAATAAAATACGCCTTTCATGACGTTTCGTGTAAAAACCTTGTTGGCGTAATTTTGACATCTGAAAGCAAGAACATTTTTTTATAACCCATCTACTGAAAATGCAATAGTAAAAGTTTTGAAAACAGTAAAATATGTAGAGTTAATAACTTTGTAAAAACTTGAATTCTAATGTAAAAGAAAACTTATTACCGCCAGTTAACTTCTTTTATTAACTGGAAAAAGATCTGTTACTATTACTACCTGAACATATTTGTGCAATTTTAGAAGTCACCTTCATACAAGCAACAATGTAAAAAATAAATGGAATTGTATCAAATATACATAGCTTAATATTTTTAGAAAGACTTCATGATAATTTAAAAATTCCAATATTATGCCTTCTCTAAAATTTGTTTATCAGCTCAGTTTTGCAGTACAAGTTTGAGTTATTATGTCCGCCAGCTGAATTTTACAGTACAAGATTGAGTTGTAATAATTTTTGAAAACTTATTTCTGAAAAAACCTTCAGAATGCGTATATTACAAATTATATTTTAATGCATTTGTTACGAACATATTCTACATAAAAATTTTATATAACAATTTTGAACAACGTAACAGTAAAGCTGATGAATTAAATCTATTAAGTAGCTATCAAAAATCAATGTAGATATCATATTTTGCAAGTTATGCATTAATTGTAGTTGAAGAAAAGAAAAAAATGGTGAATATTTAAAACAAATTTTTTGAAGTTACACACAAGATTCGACGATTATTTTTACGACTCTATAAATCCACTGCTTGATTTATTTAACATATATATTAATAAAACTTTACCTTGTAGAAAAGAGAAAAAAACTGCATGAAACGAGAAAATTAAACTCTTGCTTCTTTTTTTTAGCTTTGACATCGAAATCGTACCTTATGTACTTTGTGTTGGAATCGTTGTAAGATGTGGGTTGATGAGAATCAAGCAATTTACAATCCACTACACTCTCTGGACTTTCTACATTACTCGCGCATAGAACGGTCCAATGCACACTCAGGTATACACGCAACATGCATACAATATCATATATAAACACTTAACTGAATTTATTTTTCGCACTAACTTGAATTTCAAACTAAAATTAGCAAAGAGACCTTTTTTCTGTTGATCACGTGATTGAGTACTGATAGGTAAACAATACAAATCCTGTCAGTTCTGGTCTGTCCGAGCTCTGCTTATTTGACACCACACGTTATTATAGATTTGGCAACAGCGTACCTTCACGCTAGTAGGCAGCACTTATGACAGCTTCAGCTTCTTATCCGATCAGTCTTGATTGCATGTGGATGGGCTCGTTGTCGGTTGCTACCGGTCAAAGAAAAAGATCAACAGAGAAGCTTCATTTGCCGACAATCACGACTGCAGTAGTTAGTCGCAAGCTGCGTGACTTTTTACCCTGCTTTAATGAAAAAGTCCAATAAAGAGCGATATAACTTTTAAATATATAAAAGTGGGTGTTTATAGTGACCATGGAAAGACAAAAAAAAAAGAAAGATAGCATACAATCCAAAATTGTTAAATTTATTTATAATAGCGACATAACAACTGTGCCAGAATCATGGTTGGAAAAAGTTATTATAACCAACAACAATGGACAACAAGAAGTCGATGCAAGTGCTTGGCCTACAGATGTAAATCAATATAGCATCATTGACATGGTAGCAAATAAAAGAAACAAAAAAGCGAATTGGCCAATATTTGAAGTTGACATTCTTGGAAGTGCAAGTATGAGAGCGAGCGTCATTTTTTTATTTTTTTTGAATTTTGTTCTGAGTAATATATACGATAAATAAATTGTGAAGATTGTGAAGTTTAACTAATAATAAATTTTCAAAGAAATTAACTTTTACATCGAAATTTCCACACACACAATTTTCTTTTTGTTTTTGTTCACATAGGTAGCCTGCTGGAGGCAAAAGCAAAAGAAAAAATTGCATCATCTGATGATAGTTGTACTGACATCGATGCCGAATATGAACGGCAAAAACAAATGAAGGAAGCACAACCTAGATGTCGTAAACGTAAACGAGACAAAGACTATAAATACGACAGTGATGGTGATTACGACAACGATGAGTCTTCAAGTTACGAGGAAGATCATTCCAAAGACTTACTTGATGACGAAGCGATGAACTTAGATCTGACACCTCCAGAAGAAAGCATTTTTACTAAAAGTGAGTTTTTACTGTTTATTCATTAACTAAGTTCAATAATTGAAACTATTTTTTCAACTCAATAAAAAAATTATAATAAAAAAATTTTTATTAAATGAAATACACATAAAACTGCATTCAATTTATAATAATTTTTTGTATTTACAAGTTAGAAAAAATGTAAAAAGTTCTACATATTTCAATTCTAAAACAACTAAAACTATAATATTACGTTTATTTGATTTTATATAGATAGAGATGCTGCAGGATTTCAACATAAGTCTGTTGGCATTCATACATCTTCTACAAAAGAGATTGCAAGAACGCAAATGGAAGAAAACTGTCTAAGTAAATTATGAACGTTATTTTGAATTATAATTTAACAAACGATATCTAAATGATTTATGTTATTACAGATCCCACAACAGATCTCAAGAAGGAATGCAATGAAATTAACCAATTGCGTGGTCATGACAAATTGTTGGAGCATGTCCATAATAAAGAGGATGATCTAAACGAAGAAGTACCAGGTAAATTTGAAAAAAAAATTTTTATAAAAAGTTACATAATCGTCATGAAAAAGCTTAATGCAATTATCAATAATTGAACTCGTAGAATTTCTATTTCAAAGAAATGGGATATTACACTTCACTAATTATTGGAACGACGATAAAAAAGTAGTTTTACACAATTTTTTATTTATAACTTAAATAATTGTAATATGCTTATTTTGAATATTAATGCTGTTGTGTATGAATATAATTTCTAAAAAATGCTTCAACCTATATAATTTCCTTTTTACTTATTTTTTTTTTTTTGGAAAGTCGAAGAAAACATTAAAATAATAATTCGATTTTTCAGCGAAAAATTCAAGTGATTGTGGATCATCCTGCGAAGTTCCTAAATTATTCGATTCTACTGAAAAGTTTATTAAAGTAGAAAGGATTAACGATTCGTCTTTGGAACATGACGACATAAATGAACTAGATTTGAAGACGGACAATGAGCTAATAGATGTTAAGATGAGTAGAAAAGATGTAAACACGGAAAGAGGAAGTAAGTTAAGTTGAATTTAATAAGTTTTTATAACCACTTCCATAAATATAATTTTTCGAAACAGCATTAGTGCAAACTAAATACATAATTGTTGAACTATTAATAATACTTTGCTTACGCATATAAATGCTAATTTTTGTTTCATTTTATTTCAGGCGATAAGTCACTATGGTATATCGTAAAATTACTCAAATCGGATAGATTCATTGTTGTTCCGTCATCATGGGTAACCACTGATAATCATCATATCCGATGGCCAGATACTAATTGTTCAGCTAAACAATTAGCTGAAAAGTATATTATGCTTCGAAAGCAGCCAGAAAACAACTGGAGAACAAAAATGATCGAAGAACATGTTGGGACTACAGGTTATACCACAAAATAAATAAATCTAATTTTTTTAATCACAGTAATTTTTTTAACTAATTTTCTTACAATAAACATTGATATCATTTTCGTTATAAATCTAAGATATTTATATTTTTTTATCAAATAAGAAGTCTTTGTAACTTTCTACAAGTGACTTATAAAAACTCTTTTTTTGTTTGAGTTTAAAATTAAGGCAAGAACGAAAATTGCTCCAAACTGTAAAAATTAGAAGTAAATATAAATTTTTTTTTCTTTGTATTATCATTCTTATAAAGTTTTTTATATTTGGATGTTATGATTAAAACAATGCCATAAACGCAATAATATGATTCATTTTTGGGATTCATCATGTTGTGATTGATAGCTCATAGCATTTTTGAGAGCAAAATTCTCAATTTCACGTAACAAAGCAAGTGATAGAAGATAATAGAAGGTCCAGTCAATACAAATAATTGAAAACAATAAAAACCATAGTATTTATTCAACTGTAGAAAAATTTGCAAAATTTTCTAATTTGACATGACTACCATAAAGTCGGTTTTCATATTGTTATTTAATTTTTTTTTTATTACAAACACTTCATTTTAATAAAATCATTTGTATGTTTATAACAAACAATACATAGTATACCAAGACAGCGTACAATATGTTAACATTAAAAATATACTTTTTATTTTCATGTTTTAGGTAGATTTCAATTATAATTTATCTGATGGCTTTCTAATTTAGAAAACAGGTCTTGAATATGAAATGTAAACCAATCTAGACTAATACTGTATGTACGGCACAAAAAATGCTTACAGCTAAGCTATGAATTGAACGGTATTTTAAAAATGAATGACTAAAACAACTACTTGACAACAAACGCATAATCTACAACATTTTCAAAATTATTATAAACCAAATTTTCAAAAACACAATCAAGCACAGTTTACAATTAAAATTAATCAAAAGTACTCACATCATACGCTTAATTGGATCAAGTCATTTATTTGTAAATTGATAGTAAAAATAATTGATAAAGCAGCTTAATATCCCAGTTTGTCTATTTTGAACCTAAAAAATTATAATACAAAGTACCACAATTCTATATATTTAAATAAATAATTTCACTTCTAAAAACATTCAACTGAATAAGCTGCTGCAATAGTTTTTGTTTACACCATGCCTGGATCACTTGTGTACTACACTACAGTAAATCAATCAAAGAAAATGAAACTACACGACTTCACTTAAACAATAATTTTTTCTACAATTCCAAACTAGCCGACTGAATGTATGTAATTTGCTCCAATTTGCTCCGCCTTCTAACTTTTGATATTTCAATGAATGTTCAATTTCATGTCTTCATGAATATGCGAAGCGTATATGCACACATGTAAATAACGTAATGACTTGTCACTAGATTTGGAGCGTGATTTGGACCAATAGAAATACTTGTCGCTAAATTTATCACGTTATCACAGCTGTTTGTTTACATTTAATTATATCAAAGGTAAGATCAAAACTATTTTGGCTGTGAGAATAGCTTCAATACAATAGTTTTGAGCTTTCCTTCAAAATAAACAAATGTAGAAGACACTAACTGTGATTTGTTAGTTCGTCATGATAAGAAATGTATTAGAACAATGATTAGAATACTGCTATCATGAATAATTCTCGCAGTTTTAAGATTCATGTACAGATTCGAAATATAAGTTAACATTTTTTATGCAAACAAAAATATACAATCTTCTAACATGTTTCCAGAGACGTATGCTGCTGGATGGGAATACATCTACCAAATGCAAAAACAGATGAAAAAGCAGATTCCAGTAAAAAGTGATATTTCAATTAATGATATTTCAATTGAGGATGAGGAATTTGTCAAAGAATCCGTTTTATCCAGAAAAAAGCTAAGTGAGTTAACAGATAGTGATTTGAATAAGATGAATGATCGTGATATGTTGGCATGCACTTTACGTGAGTTTTTATATATATTTCGCATAATAATTAATTTGGTATGATATGTGATGAATCATTATCATCAAATGTATATATTTACAGTTGGATTCAAAGAACTTTTCAACGTACAGAATAAATTTATTAATGGAATAAAATTACAACAAATGATAGAAACAACGCCTTCATCCTCCGGTTACCAGTTCAATGGTCTTAGAGATCATTTTCCGATAAACACCATGAGAGACTTCAAGAAAAATGAAGATTTGTTGGGACAGAATGAAACCTACAGATGTGCAGTCGTGAGATTTTTATCTTGATTTTTATCTTAGTATAGTGTTGAGATGAACCTTTATTTTTAAATAAATAAAAGTTCTTATCGTATTTTTTAGAAAGATTTTTTTTACGACCAAGGAGAATCAACTGGACATAAATTTTGTGTAAGAATGCTCGAACAAGCAGTAACAGACAAGATAGCTTCTAATTTTTGTTTTGTCGGGAATAGCGTCAAAAAGGCTGCTTTTTCTAAAACTGATATTTGGACTATTATAAAAGGCATGTATTTGTTCACTGAATAGATACCTACAAATTATTTGCTATTATTATTAACTAATTAGAATGGTTTTTAAAGATAATGCAGTTCAAAGATTTAAAGATCATCCAGAGCAGAAGTTCACATTCGCAATGGCAGAAAACAGTTGCGGCACGTGGTTGAGACAAGCACCTTTTCGTATGAATCGCAAGAAAAAAAAGAGTGAAAGGTATAAAAGCACTAAACAGTTTTTAACGTAAATAATAAACTTTTGTTTATTCCCATAATATATTAATTTTAGAAAGAAGAAGAAAACTATTGAAGATTTCATTGATAATGATGAAGATTTGGAAAAATAGATTTGTTGAATGAAAGTAATATTTATCCTGACAATATTCCAATAATTTTAACTATCATATTAAACGTACAAATGCGTTTTGTTTCATTAATAATATAAGAAAATTAAGTTACTTATGAAAAGTTACCTATAACTATGCGTATATAATTTGATGCGTAAGGTGCCAAAAAATCTATTTATTATTTTAGCAATGGAATAGATTAGTTTCGATTATGATGTTTTAATTATAGTTGAAGTAAAATATTTAATTTTAATTTTTAAATAGTTACGTACATTTTTTTTAGTCTTAATATTTCGTGAGGAAATTGATTGAATTATAACATTATTTATGTATTGAATAATTACTAATTAGATGTTTGTACATTGCTTGAGTAATTGCGAAATTCAAAATTATTATTATATGCGCATATAATGTACGTGATAAGTAGGTTATTATGGTACGGTAAAATTTTGATACTCCTATTGTATAAGATTTTGAATGGATAGAAAATAAAAGAAGTTTTGATCATGAACACATTAAGCTACCTCTGTTATATATATATATATGTATATATATATATATATATATATATATATATATATATATATATATATATATATATATATATATATATGTGGATTGTTGGTTTTTCCCTCATTTTCTAGCAACTGTTTCTGCAACGTTTTTCATTGGTTGCAGAAACCATTAAAAAATGTTGCAAGAATGTTTTGCATCCCAGTCCAATACATTGAAACGTTGTAGAGACGTTTCCATAACGTTACCAAAATGTTACAAATTAAAATATTACTCTTCGTTAATTGTTACGACAGAGTTTACGATTGATCACTGCAACCTTTGAAAAATATTACAGCAACATTTCGCACGACAGCCTGTCAGAGAGGAAACATCAGAGACACGTTTTCACAATGTTTCTGAAAAAATTGTGTAAGCTTGTTATATCCTCGTCGCGACAACGTTTCGTTTATTCGTTGAGAAAAAGTTGTGCCAACGTTTCAGCAACAATTTGATTTGCCGATGTGAATTTTCTGTAATGTTGCAAAAACATTGTGCAATGGTTGTCAAATGGTTCTTAAAAATGAGTTGTGTCAATGTTTTGAAAACGCATGACGAATTATTTGATACAACGTTTTGTCAACATTTTTTCTCAAACAAAAGCGGACATTTTGCACGTTGTGGCAACGTTTCTGCAACATTTTTTTTTGTTGCGGGAAAAGGTGCAATGTTGCAAAAAGTATGTTGCAGAAACATTTTGGAAACAATTCTTGCTGCTTGAGTAAATAGACAAGTTTTTAAAATAGTTGCAACTGGTATTTACGATGAAAAGGAAAAATAATGAAGATGAAAATAGTCACAAACAATATAATTAAGGGGAGAGGGTAAGATGTATTATTCAATATTTATGTGATTCAAGTTTTTAAATAATAAAAATTATAGATGACCATACAACAAAAAATTTATTTATTAAGTACAACGCATAATGGAAGAAAAAGTAAGACAAACTTTTCAATTATTGTTTAAAATAAATTCTTAAAATAAAAGTATTGTAAATTAAAAATTGATTAATCTTATAGTTGCGTACTTTAGTAAAAAATGGAGCAACATTAAAACAAAGTCAAAAGCAATGTACTTCTAATAATGAGGTAAAAGAAAATTTTTACTGTTAAAATAGTTTTATCTTTTTCAAGATTTCCAATAAAATAAACTCACAGACATTGATTCCTTTAATTAATGTAACAGACTCACAAGAAAAGATCTTACAAAAAACCATTCTCGTTAATAATGCAATAGTCTTACAAAAAAAGTTTTACAAACATTGAGTTAGATTAATAATTTATCAGATTCACAGGATAATTAAATACAACAATCTTGCAGAAAACGAGTAAGTTCCATTATTTTTATTAATTAACTGATTTAAGTTATTTATTGATTAACTGATTTTTATTAATTAACTGTTTCCAAAAGAATTGGTTTTATTTATAAAATGTAAATCCATAAGTATTTACATTAGATAGATATGAAATCAAAAAATTAGACTGCATTGTTACATTTATTGGCGATATTTTTAAATTGTTAATGATAATGTATAATATGAGATTTTGCGAAGCCAATACAGTAAACAAAACGTAAAAAGTTTATTTTTAAAATATATTTTGATGGATTTTAAATTAAAATTTTGAAATGATTTTTCAGACGGTAAGAAAACTGTTCAATCATACTAACTGAAAAAGAAATGTACAAGAGAAAAATGCCATGTGATCGGTGTTTAATTGTCAAATCAACGAAAAAAAAATATAAAGACAAAATGTATCAATTTACCGAAAATCAGACCTGACGTCCGTAAAAATCGTGAATTATTCTAAATACTATATCAAATAACCAAGTCCTGTGAATACTATGGCAAAAAGGTAAATAAGTTTCATTTTTTTATTTTGAATTTCCTTGATAATATGGTTTTAATTCGTAATGTTTTATTTTCAGTGTATGAATATGAAAAAAATGTTCGAAAATCTGAAAAAACTATGCGTAACTTTACAAAGTACTGCAAGAAAAAAAGTATTGGATGAAACAATCAGCCAGTCACTATGTTTGAATGCTTATTTTGATAATGTTAATATTGATTTAAGACAACGAAGGTACGAAGTTAATTATGCGTATGAATGCTTTTTATTACAAGCTGTAAATGAATGTAGCTTATGAACATATAAAGCAATGGAATTTATTACCGTTTTCTTGTACAAAAATATTAAACGCAATTATTAAGGAAAAGGCGAAAACCTGTAAATCATTTCTAAAATGTTTATATTTAAAAGTCGTAATCATTCACCTATATGGTATTCTCATTTAACGTTCTTGTGCTGTTTTTAGTTTTGTGTATTTTATTAATGCGACGTAAAAAATGTTTATAAATTATAATTAAATTAAGATATAAGTGGATATAGACCCTATTTTTCATATACATAAATATAGTAAATACTTGTAAAATATTTTAAAAATATAAATGATTCTAATTTATTTTCTAAAGGTTCCATGTAAAATAAAAAATAAAAATTTATAAACATTTTTAAAACAAAATCTTGAGAATTACTTATAATTTTATTTTATAATTATTTATAATTATTTCGATCAGCCTAATATTAAATATCGAAATGTAATAAAGTAACATAAACAATACACATTTAAAATAATGCGCTCAGATGAAGTAAGAAGTTCTCTAGTGGCGTCATCATTACCTCTGCGAGTGAGTTCCGCACTATCATCTTAATCTCTAAACTCTAACAGGCAAAACCTCTTCTCTTTATTAATTGTTGCCCATGGAGAGTTGCCGCATGTTCAGCTTGTTGCGTTTCGTACTCGTTTCATGATATCGACTCATGTATTCGCGCTGATAGTCTAATCTCCTAAATAAAAACACGTGGAGTAGTACTTCTATTTTTATTTTTTTAATGAACGCTTAATCAAATAAATATATAAGTGACAAGTTAGTGCAGAATAAATTGAATCAAGATGCAGAATGATGATGTAAGATATTATTAAAAAGATATAAAGATATTATTTATTTATTTATTTACAAGTAACGTGCAACAAAAGACTTTTCTACATTATAATATTTTTATAGGTGGTATGGAGTATCATTAACAAATCATTTTGTTCTTTCAAAGTCAAGTAAGTTTTATTGAAGTTTGTTATAAAAATTGTTAATTATGTCTTATGTTATTTACATTCAAAATATTTTTGTTATAGCACAAAAACGCAAAGGTTTTGTAGAAATGAATATAACCTCACAGGTTTATGTAGTAGATCATCATGTCCTTTAGCGAATAGTCAGTATGCAACGGTTAGAGAGGAAAATGGTATAATTTATTTATACATGAGAACAGCAGAACGGTAATCATTTTAGATACTAGTAAATTATTTTCATTTTTAATAAGTAATAAATATACATAATAAATGATATTTATCAATGACATGAAAGAAACATATTAATCATAATATTAATAGTTTTCAATGTTTTCAATATATCTCTATCTATCGAATTGAATACATTAGGCTAATTTTTTTATATTTCAGAATTCACTGTCCAAAAAACAGTTGGGAAAAAGTAAAGTTATCTCGTAACTTTGAAAAAGCTATACATCAAATCAATGAAAATCTACTATATTGGCCTGGTTTTATCAAATCGAAGTGTAAACAAAGGTTTGTTAAAATTACACAGTATTTAATTCGCATGAGAAAATTAAGGCTCAGAAGACAAAAGAAATTGGTTCCATTGCAAAGAAAGATTGAGAGGAGAGAAAGACGAAGAGAAGAAAAAGCTCTTGTTGCTGCTAGACTTGATACAAATATAGAAAAGCAGTTAATGGAAAGACTTAAAAAAGGAGTGGTAAATGAATTATAATTTTCAAATTTATTTTCATTTTTTACTGAGGTATTTTGAAGTTAGCTAGTTTAAGATTTTTTTCTTTTACAGTACAAAGATATCTATAATTTCCCACAACAAGTGTTTGATAAAGCAGTTGAGGCTGTAGAAGTTGAAGGAGAAAGCGAACTAGAAAGTGAAGAGGTTATTTGGAATTTAATTCTTATTCCTTTACTTTGCTTATTCAATGTTAAATGTCATACAATTTGAAATTACAGGAAGAGAAGCAAAATATCGAAAAAGAAATTGAAAAGGAATTGGAAGCTGATGAAAAAGCAGAAAAAAATGCTACAAAGTTTATTGCAGCTGATAGTGATGAAGATGACGACGACGATGAATATGAATATGAAATGGAATCTGCGGTTGGATACATTTTATTTACATGCTGTTCGTATTTGAAATTTATTATAACTAATAATTATATTTTTATTGTTTTACAGAATGAAGAAAGTGATTCTGGTTTGAGAGAGGAAATTGATTTATCTAGTAATTTCGAATCTGACGCAAGTGATGTTGAGGTTTGTTTTTATGCAAGACAATTCATAAATTGTATGTGCGTGCAAGGGTGTGTGTGTGTCCGTGTACCCCTCCCCTTACTTGCCTTAGTGACTTCTAGCATCTACTGGCAATCTTTTTTAGATATTTCAGAAGAGCTTATTCTGATCCTACTGAACCTTTCTTTAATTGCTGCCATTAGTCCATTAGTTTTTTTAGTTTCTTTTTCTCATTCCGTTCTCCTTTCCTTCTTTGGTTTTAATAACTTTCCTTATATTGGAGGCCATTTGTTCCTATTTCTCATGCAACTCAAGCACTGCTAATTAGATTGTCTTTTAACGGCCTCTCCAAGTCTGCTTCTGCCTCCAGTAGAGTTCTATCAGCTTCGTATGCGGGGCACGCGAACATAGTATTCTGTATTATCGTTTGTTCCTCCGCATTGGCGGTAATCATTATTGGACTTGGGCTCTCTTTTGGCAAGATCTTTCCAAAGCATCAGTGGTCACTAAGCGCTTGGGTCAGGTGGTATTCCATCACGCCGTTTTCGGAGTATCCATTTTTTGATCTTCGGTATAAGTTTGTAAATTCGTCAATGTAAATATCGATGAATACCATTTTTCTTGTCATCTTGTGAAAAGAGTATCCCTTGCATTTGCTCGTATCTTCTTCCTCTCCTCATCAGTCATCTGTCTTAAAGTCCGCTAATAGTCTTCTTGATTCCAAATTTCCTTTCTTTCTAAAGCCTTATAGCAATTATTTCTGCAAAAACCTTGGCTACGGCACTTGACATACGCTAATGGTTCTCAGATTTAAGTTGCGCTGTACTGCGCTAATGCATTTGTATCAACGAATTCATTCAATAATTGTAGGCAGCAGCTGTCTACGCGCTGGCCATAGCCTTTGCTATATTTAACATTAGTTACAAGGATGTATAAGTTTTTGACGTCTTCGTTGTTGCTTCCTCAACGTGATTCTTGAACGACCTTTTATTATCTAGTCAAATTCCCATTCTATTTTTATTCTTGTGGTATTCTCGCCCACAGCTCAATGGCTATTTTACCTTTCTTGGTAACTGTTGTTAGCTTTCTACCCTCAAGGTAGCTACTTATTATTCTCAAATAGAATTATAGCATCATTTTTTCCTCAACCAGATTGCTGATATTGCTCTTCTACTTTGCGTAATTGAAAGCATTCTTAACACCTAGCGCTATGGTTGCCTATAATCTTTCCCTTTTTGATAGTTGATACATGGCTCGTTGACTCTTTCCTGTACTTACCATAATGCATAGTCATTTGACTTATCTTTTCGAAAACTGTACCGTGCAGTAGTAGTTCTTCGTTTACTTCTCCTTCTCAAACTTTTTCCATTCTGTTAAAAAAGTCTGTCAAGAGGTTTTAATAATGAGGGATCAGAACCAGCTTCTGCCCTTTCCATCTACCCGGGAAAGTTTCTTCTGGTAGGGTGTGTGTAGATGCGCGTGCGTGTCTGTTCTTTTTATAATTAGTCAAATTAATTTTTATAACTATATTCTAGGACATTGTTGCTTCAACAAGTAAGGGATTAATCATGCCGAAAGTAACAAAGAAAGGTAAAATGGCGTCCTCGAAAAAACGGTCACGAGTGGAAATCGAGTATGAAATGGAAGAAGAACCAAGACAAAGGGCACATACATAGAAGTATTGTTATTATACATATTGGCTTTTTTAAACAAATTGTTAAATAAATTATAATTAAATAATTAACATTTTTATTTTCTTTTCCATTCAGTAAATCATTATAAAAATTCACAGAATTTTATTCATACTAACGTTATAATTTGGTTGGTGACGCAAAATTGTTCGTATATTTACTATTAATCACGTTTAAATAATCTACATACAAAAATGCTTAAAAATCCTGTAAAGTTATCAAAAGTTAAATTTTTGCGTAGATTAGATTGTTAATCAATATAATTGCTACATCAAACAGTGTAAACACTCAGCAGTAGGTGTACCCTAGTACCCTACAACCAACCACGTTCAATATAAGTCAATATAATGTCATACCATTTATTATAACCAAGCGTATTAATATCGCTATATATGATAACCGATTCAAGATCTGCCGGATCGTACGTATCTTTATCTATCTCAGCACTAAAAAATTTAATAGCTAAAATATTATGAAAGAACTCGATCGACGCATCAATCTTAAGCTGTTTGTCGAATGACTCTCTCGTTAATAGACTGACGTCACAATGCATTTTCTTCAGAGCGTCAATGAAGGTTTCATAATACAAATCGAGCAGCTCTTCAAAGTTGTTGGTCATGACTTCGTGGCTGGTGCTCGTGCACAGGAAATAAGGTAAATCTCTAAGTGGACTGTTGTAAATGTAATTTTGAAAATCGAGGAACTTGACGTCGATCAAATTACCAGCCTCGTCTTTGCGATACAACACGTTGTTTGTCCAAAAATCTAGATGTGCGATCGACAGCCAGGGTTCTGGAGCCACGTAATCAAAGATCACGCTTGGATTGACGAATTTTAGAATACGATCGTGGTACTTGGCGATTCGAGAATCTTTAAACATCATTTTGCTTAACACCTCAAAGATGTTGCCCTTATTGCCAACGTCCTGATTGAACGGCACTACCTTAGTATGGGCCAATACTTCATCTTGAAAGAATTTGGGCCGATGCTGTTTACAAGCAATGCCGAGTGCATGAAAACGTGCAAGCGCCTTTATTGCTACTCTCGAGTGCTGCAAGTCCGATCCTATTATCATAATGATGAATGGGCTCTTTTAATTTCATTATTGGATAATAATGTCTTATATAAAAAATATGAATTACACTTTTCAATTAGAAAATGGTGTGTTCTATCGACTGTCAACTATATAAATCATTGAAAGCTTGTGAAAGTTGCTGATATCTATGACAATTTTAATAAGTTATAGAAATTAATTGGCGTTTTAAGCCGAAAAGTAAAAACCACGTTGAACCTAAGAAATCGATTGAACTTTTATCATACATTGATAGCGTACCTTCAATTTTATCCAGAGTATAATAACCAAGAGTTTGCAAGTTTTCCATCAAAATAATGACGCCCTCGTCGATATTTTTGGACCCTGCATCGTCAGACAATCTAAAGCCATACAGTTTTGGCGCAAAATCGCAAAACCCAGTTTCAGCGCTAAACTCAATCTCGAGTTCCTTGAAAGTCGGTACTAATTTTTCATAGAAGAAAATTTCTTTTTCAAAGAGTTTGGTAAAGTCAAAAACTGCCCTGATAATCTCGGCTTGAGGAAACCATTTGGCAACTAAATTTAAGGTTTCTCCAGGAGTATTTTCGTCGCGTTTCACGGTAGCAGTTACTTTGGAGAGGCAACAAGCAAAATTTTCACCGGGCGGTAAGAGCGCCGACGTTGTCGAGTGCAGTACGAAACTTGTTTTCCGAGCTTCGACCGCAGGAGTAACTGTAAATCACTGTTGCCAAGTTCTCCTCCGTCGTTTGTTTGTGATTTTTGAGTAGCGGCCATGCTTGCAAATTCTTAGCTTTATGCACCACTTATTATAAAGTCAAAGAAGCTTCGCTGTAATACTTTACACTCGATCGAACGACACTACGATTTTGTTATCTGTTAAAAATCCAAACACTCACGATTAACTGTTTTCCTCGCTAATATATTATCACCGATTATACTAATGATTAGCTTGATTACGTATAATAGAGATAACAAAATGTCAATTCAAATAAGAACTCACATGCCGGAAAATATTAGGCCTGTGATTGTAGCTGTACCGACGGTCGTAGTTTATGTGCATCTACAAGTTTTGTAGCCTCTTACAGGAGAGTAATCTCTCACTCTCTTTCTCTTTCTCTTATGTCTGCGAACATGCAGAAAAGAAAGATGGAGTTTCGCTCTGGTATTCTGCGACGTTAGTCAGGTTTTAATTGAAAAGAAATTCTGTATACTCTGGTTGTTTTATCTGTCACATATATAGAATATTGTTAGATCAAACTGCTTTTGGTAGCTCAAATGTTTAATTTATGATAATGTACTTTTGCAAATCATCGCTTCATGAAGAAAAATTAAAAACAATCAATCTATATAGTCTAACTTATCATTTCTTTCTTTTTTATGTATTTTTTTTAAATATTCAATTGAAATCATTCACGTTCATATAGCACATTGTGACGATTTCTGACACTCCTGCAAAAGCACATAAGTTCTTCACGTATTATTCCATAAAATATCGAACGATACCAATAAAGGAATAAAGTGATTGTTATTTTTCTTTTTCATCCATACTTCGATCGGACGCATACATCTATGCGTAGATGAAACTGATTTATTTCATTAGTATTGTAATGTTGTAATGTACTATTAAAAGTTCTAATGAATGTGAAAGACGCAATCGGCAACGTATTAATCAATGACCAGTAGACAATTGATTAAAGTAATAATAAGTTTATTTTAATATGATATATATAAAAATAAAACTAAAACCTTATTTTCTCTTAATTTTAGGCACTTTGCGATCCCTATTTCTATTTTTAACATTAGTAACTTCATAGAAGTCGCTACCGATTTTCTTCCTCTTGTTTGCCCGTTCTATTGCTCTTCGCTGTTTACTTGTCATCTTGACTGTACTTTTTTGAGATTTATTTATACTTGATACTTGGAAAATTCCACTAGCTGAATTTGTGTTTATCTTTGTACTTTCGATTTCACTATCACTTGAATCTATTGGTTCATCATCATCTTCATCATAAGCACTTTTGAACAAAGTGTCTTTTTCAATTGGAATTAATTTACTATCTAAATCTTCATCATCATTCTGTGACTCTATAATAGAAGAATCGTTGCCATTCATTGTTCCATCATTTTCAGTGACCACATTGCTTTCACTGTTTTCTTGTACTTTTTCATCTTCATTTTCAGACTCTTCATCAGAATTTATAGCAATGGATGTACAACTCGCGCTTTTACTAATATAACATTCACTTACAATTGGTTCTGAAGCAATTAAGTCACTTTTCATATCTTCATCTGAATACGGTAGACCAACTCTGATTTTTCTGAAATCTTGAACCACGCCTATTGACGCTTTTTCTTGATCTTTTTTAGCAGTTGAATCACCATTGGATTCGTTCAATTCATTTGAAGTCGAAGCATCTAGATTATTAGAAGCTGCAGGTGTAGTTACTTTTGCAAGTGGTTCTTCAAAACCTACTGGTACAACATAAAATGGTAATTTCCCACGTTGCCAGTCATTTAAAATCATACGAGCAGCTTGACAAATGTCAGGTTCTCCTTTTTTCAGTAATTTTCCACTTCTACGAGCAAACTTTTCTAAGAAATCAATATGATCCTTCCATTCTAAAACTTTGTAAGTTTTTATTATATATTCTGGTTTGACTCTTTCAAGAACAGATAAAATGTAATCTTCAGGATTCTGAATGAGTTCAACTCTCACTACACCCTTCAAAACTTTTTCAGTGTCACTTTCAGCTGATGGATAAACTATTCCAGGACAATCTATCAAGTAAATACGTCTCATAAGAGTTACATACTGCCATACTTTGGTCTCTCCAGCTATTGGTGCTACTTTACAGACTTTTTTGGATCGAAGAGTATTAATTATAGAACTTTTTCCTGTGTTAGGGTATCCAATGAGACCAACACTAATTTGCTTTTTATCTACATGTAACTTTGCAAACTGACGTAAAAGATTAATCAAAGAGCCTTTTCCAAAAGGGTGTGTCAACGAAGCATGGAAAGCTACTGTTGGATATTCTGCACTGAGGATTGCTACCCATCGTTGAGTAACCCAAGTAGGAACAAGATCTACTTTGTTCAATACAAATATCAAATGTTTGTGTGCTTTTTCATTTCTTAAATACTTTTCTACAGGAGGTGAACGAGTTCCCATTGGATCTCTAGCATCCAAAACTTGTAAAACCACATCTGATGAATCTACAACTTTATACAATTCATTCCATATCCTTTTACTTTGTCCTGCTGCCATTACCCAGTCTCTTTGAGCATTTCGAACTCCATCATCTGGTCTAATTAAATCAAAGTCCTTTTTATCTTTTTCTTTATCATATTCCACTTCCTTTTCTTCAGCTTGTTGCTTAAATTCATCATACGAAGATATTGATAAATTAGGTCTTTTTCTTTGCTTTTTTGGACCAAACACAGCTTCAAACCTTTCCATATCTAAAATATGTACCTTTGCATGTTTTGCTTTTTCTTGTAGTAATGTCACAGGTAATGTTGTTGGTTTCATTATAACTTGGTAAGGATCTTTCTTAACTGCTCCTAATTCTTTCTGAAACTTTTGAAGGGCATTTTGTGAAATTACTCTAGAATTACCAAACCATCTAGGAGAGGGTTCAACTCTTGAGACAGTCCCAGAAGCATGCCATCCTTGGAAAGGAGCTGGACTTATTATTTTTCCAACTCTATTTCGTTTTGCCTTTGAATTGCGGTACATCTGTAAGCGTTTAATTGTTCCTTTTGTCCTTGCTCTTGCAACTCCTTTAAGACCTTCTGCAGATCTTTCAGGATTCATACTATGCCCAGAACGATTGAAGCCCTGCTTCCGAGGAGCTTTCTCAGCTGAATGTGTTTTTGGCATTGTTGCTAAAAGTTTACGAAATAAATTATTAAAAAATAGTTTTTCAGCTTTTTCTTAAACAAATAACTTAAATAACTACTGTATAACAAATAATCAATTCAATCTAATATTTCGTTGGTTATACAAATGATTGTAAATGCTTTAATATGCAATAGATAACTTAATGTTGGATTTTATATTACAATTTTCAGTAAAAATTAAAGCGTTTTAAGCTGAATAAATTAACTGATAAAAGTATAACTTACCTGGTATTCTGATTCTATCAATGATATAAATAAAATGAATTTAAACGTAGAATTATTAATTTACTTTATTTTATTTAATTAATTTAAACAGACATACAATACAAGCTTATGATGCGCAGTCCAACGAGACCATGGCACACGTGCGTCTGCAACGTGAAGGAAGCTGAAATCATCAATAAAAATATCGATGTATCGAAACTGGAGTCAATGCCAAACTTCTTATCGATCCTCGTCTCTTCTAGTCTTCTGCTTCTCCTTCTACGCTCATATACACAGAATGGAAAAAGCGGGGCCAACAGTGGCTCTCATGTGGAACGTAGCCTCTGTACTGCATGATAATATTCCAGCTACCAGCTGAATTTATTCGCTCAAGTAAGGCGCAAGTAGTGGCAAGTGTGACATACTGGTGTGCGCGTGTCTGTGACTGTGTTCTTGTCTCGGTTTTTTCATTCCACTTTAAGCGTGGCAAGAGAAAATTTTTATCCATATCAAAGTGGACCCCGAAGTCTGAAGTGAAATAATGCTGCTCTAAGAAAAATAAAAAAGGCTCCAAGGGAGAAGCCAAGGGGAAAATGGTGTCTATAATAAAAAATCAGTTACTTAAACATCTGTCTAGGTGAGTTGATTTCAAGGTGGAAATGACAGTTGGGTCCTTGTACGTTTATTACTTTATCTTTATATTTAGTTATCATTGACACTGATAATAAATAAATAGAAACAATGCAATTAAACAATTTTTCTAGAGTATATACGTGATATAATATTAATTCAAGTTTTGCGTTTTATCTTCTTATGGGTAATTTTGCTAATTATTAACGATGCTATTCGCACTCAAATTCCCGTATTAACACGATTCTAAGATAATTACTCACAAATTCGTTGTGCAGTCACATAATTACAATTATGTGATAATTATAATTATATGATAATTACAATTATGTGACACGGATAATACGTCGATTTTCATGGGTATTTTAACATAATTAAAATAAAAATACAGAAAATCAATACTAAACAACTGTAATCTTACTAAGAAAAACTAGTTTTCATAGTTATTTTCAATATGTATCTCACATCTGCATTTATATGAAAGAAGCCCATTTAATAATAGCTGCAATTAACATATCTAACATTCTTAAATTTTAATGACATTCCAACAGTGTCAAAACATTCCAAATTTATTTTTAGTATATCATAGTTATTAAATTATCTACTATGAAAAATATTTAATACTTGATCATAAAAATATCAGAGGTTCCATGGTGCTTTTATGTTGGATTTTATGTTGGACTTTCTCCTAATGAACCTGCTTTCTATTGCAATTACTTGCACTTGAGATTTGATGGTACTGTTGTTTTACATACACTTTCCTTCTATGTAATACTTTTTTATTTTTAACTTAAAAAATTTTTTTATTTTTAATTTTTGTAATGTAATATTCTATAATATTTTTACAATAATAAAACAACTTATAGAACATTTAATCAACTAAAGGAATTGAATATTTTTCAGGTTCACTAAAAACTTATCAGCTGATAAGATCAATTTGAGTACATTTAAAGGAGAAGGTGAATTGACAAATTTGGAACTAGATGAAACTGTGCTAACTGACTTATTAGAATTGCCATCATGGTTGAGACTGACAAGTGCATGGTGTAACAAAGTTTCTTTTCGCATTCAGTGGACAAAACTGAAAAATGTTCCTATATTTTTGGTAAATGTAGTTGTGAATCATTATTTTCCTTCATTAAGTTTATTTCAATTAATTTTATTATTCTTAATACAGAGTTTGGATGAGGTTCGAATAGAAGTGGAAACATGTGAAGATTTGAGAGACATATCTAACCCACAAGGGTTATCATCATACACAGGACCTACAAAATATTCATATATTCATAAAATTATTGATGGTATAACTGTTGCTGTAAACACTGTTTTGGTTACTTTTAAAAGTCCTGCATTCATAGCCAAAGTTCAGGTATTTTATTGGATTTTTAACTAAAATTTTCCTCATTTATATGAAAAATAACTGTTTTATTTATTTTACAGATGAGTCGTATTATGGTAGAGTCAAAGTCACCAACATGGCAGCGATGTGATTTAAGAACTACAAGAGTTAAAGACCCAGATAGAGGGCAATTGTTAATATTTAAGGAATTAGAATGGCAAACTGTAAGAATAGAAGCCCAAAGTACTAAAGATAAAGACCTTACACCTCTTCGCCTTCTTACAAATCAAGCACGATGTAGAGTTACTATTAAGAAAAGATTATCTGGTAAATTTTATTTTTAATGAATGTTATTCATTTAATATACTTATTTGCAATTCCTAAAGTATATTTGTGTTTTGATTTTAGACTGTTTTGTTATGGGATCTAGACTAGTTATTATTCTTGATGATCTTCTGTGGGTTTTAACTGACTCACAACTTAAAGCTGCTTTGCACTTTATTGACTCTCTAGGAGGATTGATTGAGAAAGCAACTGTTTTAGAAAGAAAGACTAAGGCTGCTAGAAAATTAGACGTAAATATTAAATTAAATTTATTTTCAGTAGTTTATTTGTTAACTAAATAAAAACGTATAATTTTCTCTAATAGGAATTACCAGAATATCAAGCTCAAATATCTCAACAGACAAGAACGAAAAGTGCAAGTAACACTGCTATTGCAAAAATATTCAACAGATATGACGTAATTGAAACGTCTTATCATTTCCTTTCTCAAAGAATAGACTTGCATCTTTGTGATGATATGGGATGTAAGTAATTAACAATACTTTTATAGTTTGCAAAATATAAACAAATTGGTTTACGTAAATATATAGGTATACTATAAATATGTAGTAATTATTACGCTAATTAAAAGTTTTAATTCCTACAGCTGGAAGATCACTACATCCAGAACTGAAAGATGGAGGTGCATTACAGATTTCGCTTGTAAAGTTTCAAATTGACTACTACCCTTATCATTTGGCTTTGGCTGATCGTAAACATTGGGCTTTATATAAAGAAAGTGCTACGCCTCATAGTCAGTGGCTGCAACAATCGCTTAATTCCTTTCGCGGCCAATTTATGGATCTCATCGATTCTGGGCGAACTCAACATTCTCCATCTATTAAAACTCAGGGTAATATGTCAGGTATGTAACTTTTTTTATTATCTATGAGAACTCATCAATGTTTGTAGCATTTACTGTATTGTTCAGTACAAGAAGTTAAAATATTAAACAATCTTATTGTTTGTATCACAAGTTGTGTCTGAATAAAGTAAAATGAAATCTCTTCAGGTAATGATAAAGATGGAGAAAATAGAGATAAAGCATTAAACAATCAAAATCAAAATTCAACTTCTCAAGATCCAAAAAAATCAGCGGTACATCCAAGCGGCAATCCGGTAAAAAATTATGTTTTAGAACAACTTGCTAAGTTGATGACTACGTGCATCGTTATTAGAGTCGATGACTTCACCTTGTATAAAGTTACGACGTCATCTAGGAAAGCTATGCCAAAGGAATTCATAACAGGTGAGATAAGGCAATGTCTAGTTACATTGCATTTACGAATGATTTTTGGTTTATGTGTAAAATAAGGACATCAAATGACTGTCAAACTTTTTATATTTGCATAGCACAAGCAAGGAAGAAACACGGTCCAGGTATATAATAAACGACAAAAATATGTAGTGTCAATTAACGTTTCCGATGATTGCAGAAGTAAATTGTTTTTATATTTGTAGTTTACACTTTTATCATCACTTAGCGTTTTTTAAGGATGTTAACTTATCACAGTAGTTTGTAGTTGATGAAAAAAAAGTATCTTTTAATGTTTACAACGAAATAACAAGCAATTTATTGATTTAAATGTATGTTGTGAAGACGAATATGTATAAATCGAGCATGCTGGATTGATTTTTATATATTTTTTGTTGACCAATAATTTTCTAATAATTCGTTGTTTTATTCATCAGGTGATCGAGACAGATTCTGTTTACCAGAGGATGTAAATATATTACACGCCGAGTTTACTTATTATTATTACCCTGGTGACTTGAACTTCCCCTGTAAGTAATTAAAAAGATAAATTTATTGATTGTTGCGTAATAGTCATATAAAAAACTTTTGTTTACAGTGCCACCTCCAAAATTCTATGTACAGCTTAACCCTATACAAATAAATTTTGATGTGTGCTCTTGTCTCTGGTTCAATTCATTTTTGCTCAACTTGTATTATTCGCTAATGAATAATAACGCAAATATGGCGAGTTCTTCTTCAAAATTTATGTATTTTGATGTAAAAATAGAAGCAATATTACCAAGAGTAAGCAGTGCGATATTTTTTTTAGAAGTTTAAATCTTTGAAAGTACACTTATGTGAAATTGGTCGGTTTCAGTTGATATTTGAAAGTCAACAAGACTACATCAATCAAAAAGATAGGCCAAAGTCGCTGCATATGCAAACTTCAAGAGCTACAATAACAAACGTCCGTTCAAGTGAAGTATCATCTAGAGATGATTTGGCTCAATGCCTTCACGCCTTTCAAATGGGTCAAATGTTTTATGGTAGTGAATTTCCCAATAAATCTGGAGACTTCAATGCAGTCTCTGAGAAATTCTTAGAACATTGTGCTGGTATGTGAATCCATACAATTTTTTTATAAATCAATAAATTAAGCTAAAGATTGAAACAAAATTATTGTAGGCACAGATAACATAAGATCTGTTCCACCAAACTTCACAAGTAATACCGTGAGCGAAATGATTCGTCAGTTGAAACGCGAACTCTTATGGACTGAAGCCAAAGACGTATGGTGCTGTAATTTGGAACCAGTATGGGGAGATTTCCTTGGAGCTCGTGCAGTTGGGCAAAACCGACCAGTGCCGTTTCTTGATGCCTTCCCGCTTACCGTTTGGTTGCACATGGCTAATCCTGGCACCATTATCAAACCCGGCACTGCGAATATACATGGCCTTGCATACATTAGCAATTTAATTAGCGTGCAAATCAATCATTATCAGTATTTATTTTTGTTAAGACTTTCAGAAATGATATCCGAACTTGTTACTTACTTGTCAATAGACTCCAATAAGATATTGAAAGTTGAAAGTGGAGGTAGGATAGATAAATTTTCTTTAATTTTGTAAACTTGCAAAATCATAATTATTATAATTAATAAATTTAAATAATTATTTAGGATCTATGGTTATTGGAGCATTAGCCCCGCAAGTTGAAGTCACTTTTATAATGCCATCTCAAACTCCGGGAAAAGAAAATTCTGGAGGAGATCTCGAGTCAGTGGTTCCGGATACGTCAAGTATAATCGATGATATTGGTGGTTCGACTACTTTGTGGCAACACGCGGTAACCGCTCGCGTCGATTATAGCAATAAGCGTATGAATACGAGCAATGATATCGAAACACCACAAAGCGAAATGTCCTCAATGTTGTCATTCGATTTTGCTGGTGGCCATGTCAACAACACAGCTACTATTTCTCAAACCGTTGTTACATTTAAGCAACAAAATGGCTCAGAAAAAGAAGAATTAAAGTCCGTTGGTGAGATGAGTGCAGTAGAGCCAGGACCTTGGTTGAAAAACATTCAGACAGAAAAAATAAAGCTGGCCAAAGCCGATTCAATATCGGGAATAATTCCAAATAATTTTAACGTCAACCTGTCCTCAATGAAAAAAGGCTTCAGCAATTTCATGACGTCTTTAGATTCAGCCTTGAAACCGTCTCCAGAAGATGGCAGTGATACGGTTTCAATGCAGAGCGACGTGAGCTCAGATAGTGAAAATTACATAGTCGTCTCCTTGGAGGATCAAGAGAAAATTGATGCTGCTTTTAATGTAGATAACTCTATTAGAATAACTACCGTTGAAGAAGCAAGCGAAGTTGTTGAGGAAACACCGGATACGCAGAGTGAAAAATCTTTAGACAGTATGTGCAAGAGAAAAGATTTGGTGCGTACCGTTTACTATCATCAATAGAATTGGTAGTTATTATTGTATTGTATTATTATATCAATAAAATACGCTCTTTAGGTTTCGATGACAACTTTCAAACTGTCAAAAGTTGAAATTGTACAGCAATCTTCAGGTTTTTCTTCAGCAATCAAGGTCCAAGTATGCAATTTTGCTAATGACGAATGTTCATCTATACCATGGGATGAATTTCAGGTAATTAAAAGATAAGATAAGTATTGTAAAAAAACGTCCAAGGCTGTGGAATAATGTTATTAACGATGTTTTTTTATTTTAACAAATTGAATTATTTCAGCATTCTAAATTCATTTTTTAACATTTCATTGACTTATTTAACATATTTGTAACAACTATTATTATGGTTTAGCAGTATATACTCGCTACAGTAAAACAATCAATTATTTATATTCCCATCTATTTGTTTAAAAATTTTTAATATCTACACTTCAAGCTTTTTATAGTAGATTTGAAAGATTACATTTAACAAATACTTTTTGATATATAGTGGTATAATCTTTTTTAATCTTATTTATTGTTCGGTTGACTCTTAATGAATTTATATTTACTATACATATGTGTCATATTTATATACAATTTTGGTCTTTAAACTTTTTGCATGCTTTCTCCCGCGTCTCTCCTTCTCTTATGATTGTTTTTGTGTGGCACTTGTGGCAGGCCAAGAGAAAGGTATTGGCAAAACATTTTATACTAAATTATTGGTAGAAATTCACCGTAAATGCATGAATTGAGACCATTAGAAATAGGTTTTTCTCTAACATCTTTAAGAGAATTTGAATCATTTTATTACATCAACTAAGCGAAGTACAAGACTTTCTGGAAGCATGTTAAAATTCACTAATACAAATTCACTAATGATTTTCTGGCTTGTATATAGTTGAAAAAAATGATGAGCATACCGTACATAAGCATTAATAACATTTTTATGAAGCTTCAACTGCCAGCATGCCATCACGCAAATAAAGTTATGCAAACCAATATATTCAATATTGCTATTACCTACGTTTGAAAAAAAATTTGAATATATTTTAATAGTCATGTGAGTTTATGGACACTTTTACTCTATAAAACATATTTTGTTGAACATTTTTACATTTTGATTTGTAGCGATAAAATCAATTGGGAAATTTGGAGTTAAAGAAAAATGTTACATTTTCATCTTACGACACACATTATTTTGTAACAGTATAAATTGCATAAAATATTCTTTCGCTTGAAAGAAGCATAATATAAAATCATCTCTTTATTAAATTGTAGTTTCATATACTTTGAATATTTAGATCGTGCAATTTGTTTCACACTATTGTTTTACGAAACGATAACGATAAAAAGGCTTGAATTTAGATGAACAAAATTAGAGAATACCGTATAACATGCTAATTTTTCTTTTTGTTTGATTCGTTTAGACGAAATTCAGCTCTCGGTCGCGTGGTTGGGTTGAGTTGCCATCGGATTCAGACTGTCATTCTCGCATCAAGCTTCGCCTGGATCACGATTTGAAGAATAAAGATGACGCTAAGCGTATCTGGGAAACGAGTCAACAGGCGATGAGTGACTGCACTGGTAGCAGATCTTCGCATAATCAAAGCATCATAAACTTCTATGACAAGGATGCCATTCTTGGTTTGTTCGAGGACAATATCGATGTCAAAGTTGCTGATGTCTCGGTCACCATGTCTATAAGTTTTATTACTGGCTTGGCGGACTTGATTGAAGACGAAGTTATTCCGAAACCAATACCAACCAAGGCATTTTTTCTTAATATTTCTAGTATTAATTCTTACATCAGTACATAGAAAAAGTGTTTAAGCCACATTTCTGGCTTAGATAATTTTTCGTGTACTGGTGTTATTTAAATAATAATCGAAAAAAAATGCTATCTAATTTACCACTTTATTTGCAGATATTACTAGAAAATATAACAGTACGACTAAATGAAGATCGCCCACCCAATAATATAACGTCACCTGGACCAATTCCGATAGATTTGGACATCTCTAAATTAAGGATAACAAGAGATACGTCTGGTGTGTTTCACATCGAACCTGCCGGTAAGTGGATGCTCTATTTAAAAAAAATTAAGTATTTTGTCGTAACTGCCACTTGTCGTTCGTAGAATACTGTGCTATTAATTTACGTGACATGTGTCTAGTGGAAATTTTTAGATTTTACTTCATTATATTGTTGCATAAAGTTGTTAACTATATAATTCAGAAAAAATATGTTACAAAAAATAGATTAACAAAATGCTTCTTGTCTAATTAATTTATTGTGACTTTGTTTTTAATGCAAGTGGCAGAATTAAATATTATTTAATATTATTGCATATTATTTTATTATTACTTATCTAGCATAATTGTTCAATGCACTCAGGCGGCCTAACGAATGTGAGCATTGGTACAACACGATTAGAAAAAAAACATAGAATTGTAGAATTAGATAGAGCTAGTTAGATAGGCAATGCTTTAGATAACTGTCCGTCTGGATTCTGATACTTTGGACGCGCACTTTGATAATGCATGTTAACTAGAATAGTGTTATTGATAGAGGCTTATGCTCTGCGTTAAGTTTTTATTAGAATTGAAAATAAATATCGAATATATTTGTACTGGATTTAAAACGCGAATCTATATACAAAAAATAATGCTTTATTTCATTTTTTAATTCAACTAACATTAAATTCATAAAATTCTTATAATGTTATTAGTATTACAAAGAAATATTTGATGTTTGAAGATTTTTTGAGACTGAGATAATTTCATAAATAAAAAGGTCAAAGTAATTTGAACAATAATTAGAATGAAAAATTTTAAAACGTAAAAATGTTTTTGTGTTTGTTGTTACTTCTCTTATGACTAGTGTATTTATTATAAAAAAAATCTTAATTATTCATATATTTTGAAATTCTCCAGTGAGCAACTCTCTGAGAAACAACAAAGAATGGAACTCAAATGCAACAGAAGGCAGCTACGGTCATCTTTCAAAATTAGGGGATCAAGAAATGGAGTTTAATGCTTTGAAGGACATAAATCACAAGTTAAAATCCGACAATGACGAGCTTCGTCGTAGATTATCAATGATAGAGCGTTTGTCGACAGAAAATTCGAAACTTCGCAAAGTTAAAGAAGAACTGCAATCGAGTCTGAATGACGCTCAAGAAGACATATCCGTACTGATAAAGGAAAAAAGAATATTACAAGAATCTGTGATTGACTTGCAAAACCAACTACCAGGTGGTGCGTTAGGTGTTAGTAGTCGAGGTTTTGCGTGGCCGAATAAAAGATAGCATACCAGTTGTTTTGACTGTTCCAATTGCTGTAGTTCGAGCAAGTCGTAACAGATCGTGTCTTATCGTAGAGGTCTGTATATAATAAAGACTATGGTTATTAATTTTTCGCTGGTGAATAAAGGAGAGAATTAACATGAAAGTGGAAATGAAAAAGTCATGAAAGAATAAATTTTTATTACTTCTTATTAAACATGTAATCTAGGCTTTTACGCTCTGTATCAATCTTTACACTAAAGCATGCTAGTGACTGCCAACTGTCGTTACAGATCAGTTTGAAGATGGAAAATTCAAAGAAATTTTAAAAATAATAACTGTCCTGAAATATTTGAATATCCAGCCGAATCCACTGATTTTACGTTTTTTGTACAAATCAATGGATTATGTTGCAATAGCGTACAAGCTTTCAATCAACAATTATATTGTGCATATTAATATTAAAATTGATTATAAAATAAGTTCAAGCGTACATGAAATCAAATATTATTATGACTGAGACTTCATTGATGTGAAAATATATCGGTTGTACACAATGTGGTGAATCCATTATAGGAAAATATCAAAAGCTCAATATTGTCGCAAATTACATAGAAATTTAAGCCATGCGTCGCAATAAAAAAAATAATTTTCAATATGAATTTTAATTAACATTTTTATCACGGATAAATTAATTTAGTAATTTCAAAAATTTTACATAAAGATTTGTTAGTGCGAGAACTGAGCTATTCAACATTTTAGCCTATATAAATAACATAAATTTAGGATTCTTGCAGAATGGTTTGTTAATGTATATTATCAACTGATATTGGAACATTTAGAAATTATTGATATTTTTTGAAAGCAACTAAAAGAAAATATTTAGTTTGAATGTGTACATATGTATATTTGAGTATGCTGAAATCTTACTAGTATGATTTTCAGGCACTGACGGGACATAATTTTTATTTCTGCATATTGTACAAGTTATGCTCATTAATTCCAATGCTTTTAAATATCTTTAATTTTCAAAAGTCGACGATAAATACATTAAAATTATAGTAGTGCAATAAAATTATAATTTATGACTATAATTTCAAGTACTACTTGTTCACAAATTACTATTAAGTGAGTCACATAAAATTTAAAATGGTTCTACAAAACTGTTTTTTTATTTAGTAGTGCTATTTCAATCTCCAATAGCATATTTATTTTGTAGAAGCAGATTGAACAAAAGACTGCATATTACGTTTGCGAATTTTTTACAGTTATTTAACGAAAGTCTTCTTCTCTTTCATCTGCGAAACAATTGTACATGAAAGAAATTCTATATATTTACGTCGACAGATTGCCGGCCAATCTATTATTTAAATAATGCAAGGATATTTTTGTAGCGCCTAAAACCTAGCTGAAAGATAAGTTTAAATGATATAATATACAAAAATAAAATTTAGAAAACGTGATAGCTGTCTGTTTTGTGTATACAACCAAAACGTCTGAAACTCGACATATTGATATTTTCTTAAAAAGCTCTTCTAAATTGTTGAATAGTTGATTGCTTTCAACTTGAATCATTGTTCTATGTTATGTTTATGTAAATTAGTTATTCAATAGTTTCAAATATATCTTTACAAAATGATATACTTGTTATCAAATATTAAGACTGTTTTATTTCTGAAAAAATTGTTGTGATTATACTTTTGAAAGTTAGATGAAGTAATATGAAATATTGTACAAAATGATTTTTTTTCGATATCGAGTTGAATTTTAATACCACAAACGCTAAGTCTCTATCAGTGTGAAAATTGAAGAAAAATATTTTTCATAAACCACAAAAGGTTTAAAGTGATAATAAGGTAAAAAGAGATGGCTTTTATTGTAATAATTAGGTAACATAAAATTCTTAAAGAAGATACATTTCGTAAAATAAAATCGTTTAAATCGTTAAACGAAGCACTTTGTTAATTCTTTATCTGCACCACTTATATGTGATTCATGTGACATGCCATGGAATATATATATAGTTCTCCCAACATAAGTACCCACTTCTCGAGAATGACGGCAACTATAATTTACGAAATGAATCTACTTAAAAAACGTTGACTATAATATAAGAGATCAATATTTAAAATTGAACTAAATCAAAATCGTTGTATTCACTTGAATGTTAAAAAAATTTTTTCATGAGTATTGGAATTGCTTGTTATGAATGTTTAAGGTGATTTTAAATTTATTTTATTAACATGTGCTATTTTGTTTAGTCTCTCTTTTTTTCATTGTTTAGTCTCTTGATGACTTATCCTATTTATTACTTTTTGAGTATTTATTATTCAAGATTCTGTTAAATATTTGTGCTTCCTTTGTAAGTTTCTATTAATAATAAATTTGTTCATTTAAATTTACGTATACGCCGTGTCAAGCAATGTATTTTTATTGAACAATCAGCCACGTAAATATGTAAGTGTGATATTTTTTATTCGTGTACATACAAACATTTTTGTGGGCAAAAAATGAGAGCTTTATAATGTTAACCAATCTGAAAATGTTTGCTTTGAAACACCTAAACTACGTGTTGTAACTATATAAATTCAAATATTTTAACTGAACATTGCAGTCTTTCATTCAGACTTTCCTTCCTCTGTTTTAGCTTCTATAAAATAGCTTACTAAATTTATTAATATATAAATTAATATAATTATTATTAATATATAATTATTATTAACATAATTATTATTAATATATAATTTATTATTAATATACTATTGAAAATATAAACAGAATTCCGTGAGAAAAATCTTTTCATCATTTAAAAGTTGTAGGATGCTATGCTGTAAACGCTGCAGTTTTTGCAACATTTAAATGATATTTTGTTTATGTTACTACTTGAAAAATGTGAAATAATATATGACCTAACTAATGCGGAAAAGCTGCAGATTTTTATCTTACGTGAGGTTTGTGCCCAAGCGAAGCGAAGCTGGAAAGCTATATAAGACGACAACCTCTTTGCCAAAGATATTAGGTACGTTAATTTTCCAAGCAACGTCTGGATTAAATGTCAATTGAGCGCACGTTTTTCGCTGAGCGTGCGGCAAAGTTGTCCTTTTGCACGTCGTGTTGAAATAGCAGACTTTAACCATTTAAGATATACACTGTTAAATTTGTTATTGATTATATGGTTAGTGAATTCATCATATTATGAATATTTTGATATAAATTAGTCCGGTGAAAAACTTGATTGCTATACGTACGTAATCATGAAGCTTCTATCCTCACTTTTCATTGTTCGAATTATTGGTCGAACTTCGTATAACTAGTGATCTGTCTCGATTAATGCTAGAATTAACGTGTCATAATGCTAATCGATAGAATTTTATCGAAAAAATAATACCCGTTTTATCATTAAAATATATAAAATACAATGTAAATACTATATATAATAGATTGTTTTGCTTATATTACACATCAAACTTTAAGGGTTAAATTATAAATTTCATTTTCATGATAATGTATGTGCCAATTTGACGTGCATATCTCTCGAAAATTACATTATGATACGCCAAATAACAGAAAAGCAATTAGTGTCCCTTATACATCAATTTTCAGTAATGATTCTTAGATTTTTTAATTACAGCGGTCCGCCTATGACGAATATGAAATTTCCGTACCAATGCGTTGATTTTTACTTAAACAATTGAAATATTGAATCACTTATTATGGTATTATTTCAAAAACATTCAGGTACTCTTTGTCTCTTTGTAAGAGCAAGAAATTTAATTATGAAAGCTGGTTATTTGGGCATAGTGAAGCATAAGATCTAAGTCTATAAACGCCTTTATTGAAGTCACTGATTAAACTATGAATAGCTAATTTTTATCAGAACGATTTTCCATAATCATTTATGCTTAAGTTCACAACAGTCATATGTTAGTGTGCGTTTTTCAAGTATTTCAAGTACTCACTATATTGATATTTTAGGCCATTGACGCGAAAGAAATTGCAACAAATTGTCTATGTATGGGATCTTATAAATATTGATTTATTTTATATTATTTAGTTAAATTCTTTTGTTTTCTGCCGATGCTTTCTTTCTTCATAAAACTATAGTGGATGAGAAAATATATAAAAAATGGTTTTACCGCGATAACAATGTTCTAATCGAGCGAGAGACAAGGACAATGTCTGCGTCTACACGTATATAAAAAGCCGCTCAATACAAACTTTCTTATCTTGAAAGCATTGTATTTATTTGATAGCCTAAATGAATTCGTTAATTGCTTCATTATTGGATTGAACAGCAGGCGTGACATGACAATGACAAGACATTATGAACTTTTGATCAATATCGTCGATATGAACTAACAATTCATCATTCATGGTTAGTTAATAAGAAAAAATTGGATTTTGGTAGACATATATATAGTAGTTTATAAATTAAGAATGTAAATTTGATTTTATAGTTATAATTAGCTCAATACAATTTATTTTTACGTATATAAGAATTGTACGTGACATGACTTCAAATTTATTACTCAAAAAAACAAGGCAAGATAGAGCATGACGTGTAAATCCAGAAAAATGAGCATATTAATATATTATTTCTCTGTGTATAGACAATTTTTTTTGAATATTTTATAAACTTGATTTCTTGTAAATACTTTGTTAACTGACTAGAAAATTAAGATCTACGAAGAAGTAATTAAAGTTACCGAATAGCGTTTAACTATTTAACAACTTATTTTATCGTAAAAATATGTATACAAAATATGTTCAACAAATCTTTACAACATTTATAAAATTAAAATGCATATTTTCATATCCATTCTTTTTCAACAAATTTAGATACAATCATCCATGACCGTTCAAGATACAAATTAGTGGCTTTAGTCATCATAAGTGAATTTACCATATCATTAAGATCAACATCGTCGGCCACCTCTTGGGTGAAAAATTTGGCTGCAAGCAAACAGTGTAATAATTCACTCTTTGCATCTTTGTTCAGTTGCTGATCAAAACTTGTCCTCGAAAATAGATTTGTGTCAAGGCCCATCATCTTTGAGAAGTCGATCAAACTGTCATAATAAATATCTAAAAGTTCATCAAAGTAATTTTCCATAACATCTATTTCGACGCTGGTGCATAGAAAGTATGGCAGATCTATCGTTGGGCTACTAACCCTCGTCATTTGAAAGTCGACGAATTTGATGTCTTTGACTTGCCCATTTTCTGATAGATATATTGAATGATTAAAATTAATTTATTTAGTAATCAGGTTTAATTATTTGAAAGAATTTTAAATGCTACTTCTATGTAACATTACTATGTAAGTAGTTAAAAAGATCTTTATTTAGGATAATAGACTTTAGCCATTTTCTTCTAATATAATTGGACTACTATAAAAAATCAAATTAGAAAAGAATACTACAAATATTTAAAAAATTTTGTTGATAAATGTATTTATTCTGTGTAATGTCATATAATCCGATACTTATATAAATTTATTAAAATGTAAAAAATAACATCAATACCTTTTTTTCATGAATAAATTTCATGAAAGGGTCTCTATATTATTCGTTGTTACTTTCCTGAAATCGTGTCGTAAATAATACGTAGTCATTTAGGTATTGATGAAAATACGTAAATAAAATTTAAACGCTTCTGCCTTTTTTAATAATATAAGTATGCTAAGAGATGTTTCATTTAATATAAACTGATTTCATGTACTTTAGAGTATGTTACCTTGTTGGAAGAGCATATTGTTCACCCAAAAATCGCCGTGGCTTATAGCGACCCAAGGTTCTTCTGGTACAATACTTAAAACTTTTTCCCAATCTTTATTAGCTTCTATTGATGCTCTGATACGATCTTCGTATTTAGCGATTCGTGGATCTTTACAGATAGCAGCAATAGTGTAATTTATCGCGTCGTCGAATTCGTTTCCCAGTAGTTTAAATGGAAGAGCATTTAAAGGCTTCTTAGCTTCTCTGAAAAATGTTGGATTTTTCTCTTTCAATGCCATTGACAACGTGTGGAATCGTGCTAGATCCTTAAGCGCCAGTTTAGCGTTATTTAGATTTAAACCTATTCAAACGAATTATATTATAAATACATACAATTATTTTAAAGTTCAATATTAATGATAACCGGTGTAACTACGCGATTATTTAAAAATTGTTTCACAAAACTTATTCATATTTACCTAATTATTTAAGTAATCGATAATAATAAATGTCTATATTCACTGACTCTATATAAATATAATTTCCGACAGTAGAATTTGCATATATGAATAAAAATATGCACGCTTGACTAGTTTCAGTTTGAATATCCAAAGATCAATAAATATTTTTCTCTTATTTGAAAATTTTAAACAAGCCGAGATCTTTTAATAAATGAAATTTTAAATGTTTTTGAAAATAAAGTGGAATTATGTAATTTTCATACATCGTTGTTAAACAAAAAATGTTGAAAAAAAGAAATTATCACTTCGCATTTAGTTGAATGAAAATTTAATAAATTTTTTGACAATTTTTATTATATGAATGTGTATAAATTTATTTTATAGAGCAGGATCGATAAGAGAATAATAGTTTACAAGAATTAAATTCTATGGTACTATAGGTAAACAAGCAATTTTACAATTTTTGTAGGATTTCTTTTTATTAGTAATTCGATAGAAGCATTTTTTACATAAAATATTTTCACACAAAAAAATTGAAGTGCCCGACTCGTATAAAAATAATTAATGTTTCTCTTACTAAAACTTCATTACTTAAAACGTTATAAGCAAAAAAATAGAATCTCTTATGATATTTTAACAACGTAGTTTTAAAAAAAGTCAGTTAATAAGTAAATATTCGTAGTTACCTTTGATTCTGTTCATTGTACAATATCCAAGCTCTTTCAGGTTCTCCATTAGCATAACTGCATCTTCGTCGGCAACGTCTAATTTTTCTTTGTTCATCGAGAGCCTGCCTCCGTAGTATTTTGGAGTTATGTCAATCAAATCTTCGTCCTTGACACCAATTTCTTTCTCGAGCTCTCTGAATGTAGACATTAATGTCTTATACACGAACATTTCCTTATTGAACGACGCGGTGCAGTTAAGATAACTCTGTTGAAATTCTGTCAAGGGTATCATTTTGGCAACAAGAGCTAGACTCTCTTCGGGCGAATCTTCAGTTCTCTTGATCAGTGAATTAACTTTGAGCATTGTACTTGAGTAGTTTTCACCCTTTGGTAACAAATTTGTCGTATCATACTTTACGACAATCACCTCATTACCTATTATTTCTCGAAGAAGTGTTTGCAAATCTCGGAGAATCAGTTTCTTTACTTTTTTTGTATCAGTGTTATTTGATGTCATTCTGTTGCAGTATATCGTAGATAATAGTGATATCTTTTATAATTGCAGTTTCAAATAAAAGATTTAACGTTATGTTATCTATTATTGTTGCATATAAAAACGAAATTTTTAAGAATACATATATAAAAATGTATATATAACATTCGACCCAATACAAAAATGATTGAGACGTACTGACGATATGCAAGAAACTGATGTAGCGATTACTATAGCTGACATTTAGACCGTCCTTTTTTCTACGATGTCCCTCTCCATATTGCAATTAATCACACATCAGTTGCTGTTTAATCAACCGTGTTTATCGTCACTGCAATAGATTAACTTAACTGCATGAGTCGGCTTGATTATGTAATTTTTTAATTTTGTTTATTTTTGCGGCTCCGTGAATATTTTGCATTTTATTGCTTCTCAAACACTAAATAGCAAATAAAGTTTCTCATTAAAAATTAATGTCCAGATATCAGTTGAATATGCCATACCAGGTATGATAAGTTGTAGGTAAAAATAATACAATGACAAATTGTTATTATATTGCAATATATTGAAAACATTTTATAGAATAAAAATTGTTACATAATAATCTTTCGTTAAGCTACAATATATAATACATTTCTTAAGTTTCGATAGTCGACGGAAACTTTATAAAACTCAATAAAACTGAATGTTTTATTTTAGATTCTCGAAAATTTCAATATTAAAATGTTATCATTAAATTATTGATATCGAGATCTTTGCCTTTGATAAATAACTAAAAGTATGAAAAACGGATAATCTTGTTCCAATTTATAAAGAGAAATCATCATCAGGCTTACTGTATAACAAATAATAAAGATAATGACAATAATGTTACTTTATAATTTTATAAAATTCTACAATTCAAACGTGTTTTTCTGTGCATTTTGGAGTGTTATTTTTCATAACTTTTGACATTATTGGTGAATCTTTGTTTCTACATTTCATTAATTTTTTTTATAGCTCTTATATATATATATATTTAAAAAATTTCTTAAATTCCTTCTGATACTTCATCTCAAGTAATAAATTTTGTTAAAATCAACGTTTTTTTTTTCAAATGTTCATGCATTATTACCTCTAATGTTCGTTGGTAATTTTGAATTACATTTCTATTTTACACTAAACCAAGCATTGAGATATCGCAACTAAAAAAGCAAAAGATATTACATATAATCAAATACCTTTTTAAATTCTATGATATTATTATGATATTCATAATATACTCGTACGAGGTCTGTCCGGAAAGTATCGGGCCTACCTTTATATTTTCGTGCTAGCGTTATTCTTTATCATCTGGTGGGTGGCATCCTTCAAAGTAATCCCCACTTGATTGAATAACACGGTTCCATCGATGTTTCCACTTTTCAAAACAGTCCTGGAACTCACTTTTATGGATAGCCATAAGTACACTCGTCGCATTGTTTTCAACCGTTGTTTTGTCATCGAATCAGTGTCCTTTGAGTGGTTTTCTTAGTTTTGGAAACAGCCAAAAGTCATAAGGGGCTATGTCGGGATTGTATGGAGGTTGTCGAAGCAGTGCGATATTGTGTTTGCTCAAAAACTGCTGCACAAGATTGGATGAATGCGCTGGCGCATTATCGTGATGGAGAAACCAGTCACCACTTTCACAAAAGTGCGGCCGTTTTCTTCTTACTGCATCACGCAAACGTTTCAAAATTTGAACGTAGTATTCTTTATTGATTGTCTGACCTGTTGGTGCATATTCATGATGTACAACACCTTCATAATCGAAAAAGACAATCATCATTGACTTAACATTGCTCCGACTTTGACGTGCTTTTTTTGGTCTTGGCGATTCAGAATGCTTCCACTGTGAAGATTGTTGTTTTGTTTCAGGATCATAATCATAAACCCATGATTCATCACCTGTAATAACTTTTCTAAGCACATTATCATCATTATTGACCATTTCCAGATTGTCCAGAGCGATATCTAAGCGAATGTTCTTCTGCTCTGCTGTGAGCAATTTTGGGATGAATTTCGCACACACCCCTATTGAAAAAGATGACGTTATTTTATGACGTTATAAATAACGTTATAAAATAACATTATTTTATAACGTTATTCGACGTGTTACGAATTGGAACAAAAATAACGTTATTTTTCTAAACCTCGCGCCGAATGAAATAACGTTATTTCTCAAAATAACGTCATTTTCTTTACCAAAATCAAAATTGTACTGAATGCGATAACGTTATTTCTCAACAAAATAACGTAATTGTCTGCGAAGAATGTCATTTTTAAAATGAAATAACGTTATTTGCATCCCCGTTAAAATTTCCAAAATAACGTTATTGTTTGCGTTATCCCAGAATTTAACGTTATTAATCATTTATACGTCATTTTTACCCCCGTAAAATTTACAGAAATAACGTTATTGTGCTGATTCAATAACGTTATTTCTAGGACTTAACGTTATTTTAAGTGATAACGTTATTTTTCACCATAAGTTTTAGAAATAACGTTATTGTGACGATCCAATAACGTTATTTTTAATTTTTTTATGCCCACAGCTGCCCTGGGTCTTTACTTTATTCCATTTAATGATGTTATTTGCTGATACGAAATATTATTTATTTTATTATAATAAAATACATATTTTCAAAAATATTTTTAAACAATATATGAAATATTTATTCTAATTATCGTAAGAAAAGTTATCTTGCAACGAAAGCAATTTTAAATACATTACATGCACAAGTTTAGAATGATTCATGAATAATATTGCAAAGGCAAATTATTGCAAATTAAGGTAATCGTAATGTAAGATATATTAATAAACTCTTAAAACGTTTTTAGTTAATACTTAAATTAAAACATTACTTCTAGGAAGACATTGAATTCTTATACCTATTACAAATAAAATTGTATCAAGTTAAAGCTAAGTAATAAATACTATAAATAAAAGAAATAGTTTAGTAAAAAACAGAACAAAAAATTATAATCGTCAATAATATAACTTAATCATCTTCATCTTCAGAAGCTTCATTGCCTGACCAATCATCATTTTCAGATTTGTTTTCTTCTTCATTTTGTACTTCTAGGTCCCCACTCTCAGATAAATCATCTCCAGAATCCTGTCGACTGTTTATTCTAAAGAACTTTTCTCTTTCTTGAGCAATGACAGTTCCAAAAAATCGTCCAAATTTGTTAATGTGCTTTGCTTGTTGTTTTGTTGACATTTCTTGTGTGATAATTTCTTTATGGAATAAATATTGTACATAACTTTCTGCAAATTGATAATTGATGTATTTCAAATAATTTACTGAAAGATATTAAAAAATCATTATAGCTACTTTTGAGAGCTTCAAAGAGTCTAGAGTCTATTGGTTCTCTACCATTCGTATCTTTTGTTCTATCAATTTGTACAGCCAGCTTAACAAATTCATGTAGTTTCCACAAGTGTGGGTACAGTTCACGGATAAACTTGTAGCTGGACGACGCTTTTTTAGCCTTTCTCCAAGCTTTTCGTGGAATAGATACACCGTAATGTAAATGAAACATGGTCATCTATAAAGATTTTATTTTTAGTTCGTGTTTATTAGTATTCAAAGAAAAATTATTTTTTTAATGATTATATTAATACATACTTTAGGCTGCCCATCAGTTGCTCCTTTTTCCCAAGTAGTCAATTTCTCTCTCTGTATTAAATCAGATTTAGTATAATCATCGGTATCATATTGTATCTTTTTAATCTTTCTTTTATACTTCTTGTTAGCATCAGCATTTTTGTTGCCAGCAGCATCTTTTTTAACTTCCTTACGAATAAATTTTGATTCATTTTTTTCAGTTCTCAATCTAAATTCTCGTTTAGATTTCTCTTTGGACATCTTTTTTGGAATTGCTTCTTTATATTCGATAATGTTGTCCATATCTTCATGAAAAGAGGGCTTTAAACTGTTTGATGAAGTAGCTGTTTCTGATGTTTGATTGTGTATTGATCTTGAGGCTTTTCTTTTCAATCCTGAATATTGAGCTCGATTTTTCTTTTGAACTTTTACGTTTTCTTCGTCTGAATAATAATGTTCTTTCTCGACAAAACGTGATGTAGACGCTCTTGCAAAACATTTGGATGGAGGTGATTTAATAGATAATTGCATATTATTCCCGGAATGCCCTTCAGCTTCTAATGCTTCTGAAACATAGATCATTTGTTTTTTAAAATTTATTTATATTATATACAAAAATTATTAATTAATTATTTCCTTTATTACTTACTGGTTAAAACAACTGTACAGGGATTTACAATAGTTTCAGAGCAAACTGGTACGGAATGCTTGCCTCTCGGACTACTCTCATTGTTTCTGACTTCAACGGGCATAGCACTCTTTGCTGACTTATTTTTGTCTTGTAGCTCTTTGAGTTGATTTCGAAGATTTTCAATAATTTGATCCTTATCTTCATCATCATCAAATTCCAAATTGTTAGTAAACAAAAGCTTTTTATGCACATTATCGTTAGCATAATTTATAGAAGGAGGTACCTGAATAAAAAATGAGATATTATTTTCAACGACGTGGAAATTTGAAATGAAATATTTTCAAATTTGAATGGAATGTAACATTTTTTTTAATAACATGAATTATTTCTAAAAAAATAGAATAAATATTATAATGTTTCAATTTACAAAATGATTTGATCTATGTCATGTAACAGAAATTTTTAAATACTACTTCCAAATGTTTTGATTTATTTAGACTGTAGTACAAAATAATTTAGTTAAGAAACAAAAAAAAATATATAGAAGGTGATGCTGCTTAACTACGCTAGTTTTAATAAAAAATAAAATTGAATCCTTACGTCTTTATCTGTAGAGTTCAATGAAAGAACAGGTTTTGTACTTTTTTTTGATTTGTCAGCCTTTTCAGCCTTTTTAGCTAACTCGTATAGTACAACACTGCGCCTTTTTGTAGGCTTCAACCATCTTTTTTCTTTATTCATCAGATTATTCTTGTCATCCGACACATCTAAAATGATAGCAGGTTCAAAAATAATTTCTCCTTCAGGATCCAATCCATTTTCCACATTTGCATCATATGGAAATTTTTTATGAGTGATATCAAATTTCTGTATTTTTGAAGTAGATATGAAATGCACTTTGTTTGTATCAATATAGAATCTAATTGCTGCAACATAATCCTTTGTTTCTTCTTCATTGTCCAATCCACTATCGTTTTCACCCATTGCTCTTCAAATAATTTGCTACAAGTGAAGTTTGTAAGTTTAATAATCACATAATTTCTGCAATACTTGATATAGAAAAGAGGAATCAAAAAATTGTAGACAGAAAATGTAAAATGAAAGAAATTTAATAAAATGTGTAAAATGTTATAGGTATATTTTAGTAATTAAAGAGCAAGGAAAAGTAGAATAAGATGTATATATTCTGGTTTTAAGTTTAGTTTATAAGTTTATTTTTTGTATCTAATCTCATGCGTGAGCCTTCCATCTCTGTGGATTGACAAAAAATTGGCACATGTCTAAATTGTCTGGTAAAAATAAAAATAAAAAAAAATGTTCAAAATCTTATAAAAAAAAAGAATGTACATGATGTCAGAAATATTGCGGTGCTGAATATTCAATTTAAGATACAACAATTAGTTAGTGACATAAACCAATACTTTGCTACTTCAAAGAGGATTATTCGTATAGGCTCACTGACTAATCAATCACAGTTGCTTTCCTAATACAAATAAACTAATAATTGTCATTTAACAAAATTATACACTCACATTTACAAGAATGTGACAAAGAAATTTAATAAAATGTGTAAAATGTTATAGGTATATTTTAGTAATTAAAGAGCAAGGAAAAGTAGAATAAGATGTATATATTCTGGTTTTAAGTTTAGTTTATAAGTTTATTTTTTGTATCCAATCTCATGCGTGAGCCTTCCATCTCTGTGGATTGACAAAAAATTGGCACATGTCTAAATTGTCTGGTAAAAATAAAAATAAAAAAAAATGTTCAAAATCTTATAAAAAAAAAGAATGTACATGATGTCAGAAATATTGCGGTGCTGAATATTCAATTTAAGATACAACAATTAGTTAGTGACATAAACCAATACTTTGCTACTTCAAAGAGGATTATTAGTATAGGCTCACTGACTAATCAATCACAGTTGCTTTCCTAATACAAATAAACTAATAATTGTCATTTAACAAAATTATACACTCACATTTACAAGAATGTGACAAAGAAATTTAATAAAATGTGTAAAATGTTATAGGTATCTTTTAGTAATTAAAGAGCAAGGAAAAGTAGATTAAGATGTATATATTCTGGTTTTAAGTTTAGTTTATAAGTTTATTTTTTGTATCCAATCTCTTGCGTGAGCCTTCCATCTCTGTGGATTGACAAAAAATTGGCACATGTCTAAATTGTCTGGTAAAAATAAAAATAAAAAAAAATGTTCAAAATCTTATAAAAAAAAAGAATGTACATGATGTCAGAAATATTGCGGTGCTGAATATTCAATTTCAGATACAACAATTAGTTAGTGACATAAACCAATACTTTGCTACTTCAAAGAGGATTATTCGTATAGGCTCACTGACTAATCAATCACAGTTGCTTTCCTAATACAAATAAACTAATAATTGTCATTTAACAAAATTATACACTCACATTTACAAGAATGTGACAAAGAAATTTAATAAAATGTGTAAAATGTTATAGGTATCTTTTAGTAATTAAAGAGCAAGGAAAAGTAGATTAAGATGTATATATTCTGGTTTTAAGTTTAGTTTATAAGTTTATTTTTTGTATCCAATCTCTTGCGTGAGCCTTCCATCTCTGTGGATTGACAAAAAATTGGCACATGTCTAAATTGTCTGGTAAAAATAAAAATAAAAAAAAATGTTCAAAATCTTATAAAAAAAAAAGAATGTACATGATGTCAGAAATATTGCGGTGCTGAATATTCAATTTCAGATACAACAATTAGTTAGTGACATAAACCAATACTTTGCTACTTCAAAGAGGATTATTCGTATAGGCTCACTGACTAATCAATCACAGTTGCTTTCCTAATACAAATAAACTAATAATTGTCATTTAACAAAATTATACACTCACATTTACAAGAATGTGACAATATCATTATTTACATTCAATACATATGAGTTCATTGTAAATGTTATTATAACACATTTTTGTTGGATACAACTATTTCAAGAATCTACTCGTTAAATTGTGTTCTATGATTATCAGAACGTTAATATGAATCTATGTATTACATTAAGTGTTAGATTAATTTTAATTGAAGTTGTTAAATATTATATTAATTAAAACTACTTACCCAATAATTAGTTGTAATTTTTCGTGTTTTGAAGAAGAGAAAATTCTTTGTCAAGGATATAATGATTTTGTTCACAAACTATATTAGCAGAGATATACTATTGTATTATATATATTCTGAGACTTTGAAATGAGGAAGAAGACACAGGGGGCCTATTCTGAAAAAAAATTTTGTGGTAAATCAGTTTGTCACTTCAATCATTATTTACATTCAATACATATGAGTTCATTGTAAATGTTATTATAACACATTTTTGTTGGATACAACTATTTCAAGAATCTACTCTTTAAATTGTGTTCTATGATTATCAGAACGTTAATATGAATCTATGTATTACATTAAGTGTTAGATTAATTTTAATTAAAGTTGTTAAATATTATATTAATTAAAACTACTTACCCAATAATTAGTTGTAATTTTTCGTATTTTGAAGAAGAAAAAATTCTTTGTCAAGGATATAATGATTTTGTTCCCAAACTATATTAGCAGAGATATACTATTGTATTATATATATTCTGAGACTTTGAAATGAGGAAGAAGACACAGGGGGCCTATTCTGAAAAAAAATTTTGTGGTAAATCAGTTTGTCACTTCAATCATTATTTACATTCAATACATATGAGTTCATTGTAAATGTTATTATAACACATTTTTGTTGGATACAACTATTTCAAGAATCTACTCTTTAAATTGTGTTCTATGATTATCAGAACGTTAATATGAATCTATGTATTACATTAAGTGTTAGATTAATTTTAATTAAAGTTGTTAAATATTATATTAATTAAAACTACTTACCCAATAATTAGTTGTAATTTTTCGTATTTTGAAGAAGAGAAAATTCTTTGTCAAGGATATAATGATTTTGTTCCCAAACTATATTAGCAGAGATATACTATTGTATTATATATATTCTGAGACTTTGAAATGAGGAAGAAGACACAGGGGGCCTATTCTGAAAAAAAATTTTGTGGTAAATCAGTTTGTCACTTCAATCATTATTTACATTCAATACATATGAGTTCATTGTAAATGTTATTATAACACATTTTTGTTGGATACAACTATTTCAAGAATCTACTCTTTAAATTGTATTCTATGATTATCAGAACGTTAATATGAATCTATGTATTACATTAAGTGTTAGATTAATTTTAATTAAAGTTGTTAAATATTATATTAATTAAAACTACTTACCCAATAATTAGTTGTAATTTTTCGTATTTTGAAGAAGAGAAAATTCTTTGTCAAGGATATAATGATTTTGTTCCCAAACTATATTAGCAGAGATATACTATTATATTTTATATATTCTGAGACTTTGAAATGAGGAAGAAGACACAGGGGGCCTATTCTGAAAAAAAATTTTGTGGTAAACCAGTTTGTCACTTCAATCATTATTTACATTCAATACATATGAGTTCATTGTAAATGTTATTATAACACATTTTTGTTGGATACAACTATTTCAAGAATCTACTCTTTAAATTGTGTTCTATGATTATCAGAACGTTAATATGAATCTATGTATTACATTAAGTGTTAGATTAATTTTAATTAAAGTTGTTAAATATTATATTAATTAAAACTACTTACCCAATAATTAGTTGTAATTTTTCGTATTTTGAAGAAGAGAAAATTCTTTGTCAAGGATATAATGATTTTGTTCCCAAACTATATTAGCAGAGATATACTATTGTATTATATATATTCTGAGACTTTGAAATGAGGAAGAAGACACAGGGGGCCTATTCTGAAAAAAAATTTTGTGGTAAATCAGTTTGTCACTTCAATCATTATTTACATTCAATACATATGAGTTCATTGTAAATGTTATTATAACACATTTTTGTTGGATACAACTATTTCAAGAATCTACTCTTTAAATTGTGTTCTATGATTATCAGAACGTTAATATGAATCTATGTATTACATTAAGTGTTAGATTAATTTTAATTAAAGTTGTTAAATATTATATTAATTAAAACTACTTACCCAATAATTAGTTGTAATTTTTCGTATTTTGAAGAAGAGAAAATTCTTTGTCAAGGATATAATGATTTTGTTCCCAAACTATATTAGCAGAGATATACTATTGTATTATATATATTCTGAGACTTTGAAATGAGGAAGAAGACACAGGGGGCCTATTCTGAAAAAAAATTTTGTGGTAAATCAGTTTGTCACTTCAATCATTATTTACATTCAATACATATGAGTTCATTGTAAATGTTATTATAACACATTTTTGTTGGATACAACTATTTCAAGAATCTACTCTTTAAATTGTATTCTATGATTATCAGAACGTTAATATGAATCTATGTATTACATTAAGTGTTAGATTAATTTTAATTAAAGTTGTTAAATATTATATTAATTAAAACTACTTACCCAATAATTAGTTGTAATTTTTCGTATTTTGAAGAAGAGAAAATTCTTTGTCAAGGATATAATGATTTTGTTCCCAAACTATATTAGCAGAGATATACTATTATATTTTATATATTCTGAGACTTTGAAATGAGGAAGAAGACACAGGGGGCCTATTCTGAAAAAAAATTTTGTGGTAAACCAGTTTGTCACTTCAATCATTATTTACATTCAATACATATGAGTTCATTGTAAATGTTATTATAACACATTTTTGTTGGATACAACTATTTCAAGAATCTACTCTTTAAATTGTGTTCTATGATTATCAGAACGTTAATATGAATCTATGTATTACATTAAGTGTTAGATTAATTTTAATTAAAGTTGTTAAATATTATATTAATTAAAACTACTTACCCAATAATTAGTTGTAATTTTTCGTATTTTGAAGAAGAGAAAATTCTTTGTCAAGGATATAATGATTTTGTTCCCAAACTATATTAGCAGAGATATACTATTGTATTATATATATTCTGAGACTTTGAAATGAGGAAGAAGACACAGGGGGCCTATTCTGAAAAAAAATTTTGTGGTAAATCAGTTTGTCACTTCAATCATTATTTACATTCAATACATATGAGTTCATTGTAAATGTTATTATAACACATTTTTGTTGGATACAACTATTTCAAGAATCTACTCTTTAAATTGTGTTCTATGATTATCAGAACGTTAATATGAATCTATGTATTACATTAAGTGTTAGATTAATTTTAATTAAAGTTGTTAAATATTATATTAATTAAAACTACTTACCCAATAATTAGTTGTAATTTTTCGTATTTTGAAGAAGAGAAAATTCTTTGTCAAGGATATAATGATTTTGTTCCCAAACTATATTAGCAGAGATATACTATTGTATTATATATATTCTGAGACTTTGAAATGAGGAAGAAGACACAGGGGGCCTATTCTGAAAAAAAATTTTGTGGTAAATCAGTTTGTCACTTCAATCATTATTTACATTCAATACATATGAGTTCATTGTAAATGTTATTATAACACATTTTTGTTGGATACAACTATTTCAAGAATCTACTCTTTAAATTGTATTCTATGATTATCAGAACGTTAATATGAATCTATGTATTACATTAAGTGTTAGATTAATTTTAATTAAAGTTGTTAAATATTATATTAATTAAAACTACTTACCCAATAATTAGTTGTAATTTTTCGTATTTTGAAGAAGAGAAAATTCTTTGTCAAGGATATAATGATTTTGTTCCCAAACTATATTAGCAGAGATATACTATTATATTTTATATATTCTGAGACTTTGAAATGAGGAAGAAGACACAGGGGGCCTATTCTGAAAAAAAATTTTGTGGTAAACCAGTTTGTCACTTCAATCATTATTTACATTCAATACATATGAGTTCATTGTAAATGTTATTATAACACATTTTTGTTGGATACAACTATTTCAAGAATCTACTCTTTAAATTGTGTTCTATGATTATCAGAACGTTAATATGAATCTATGTATTACATTAAGTGTTAGATTAATTTTAATTAAAGTTGTTAAATATTATATTAATTAAAACTACTTACCCAATAATTAGTTGTAATTTTTCGTATTTTGAAGAAGAGAAAATTCTTTGTCAAGGATATAATGATTTTGTTCCCAAACTATATTAGCAGAGATATACTATTGTATTTTATATATTCTGAGACTTTGAAATGAGGAAGAAGACACAGGGGGCCTATTCTGAAAAAAAATTTTGTGGTAAATCAGTTTGTCACTTCAATCATTATTTACATTCAATACATATGAGTTCATTGTAAATGTTATTATAACACATTTTTGTTGGATACAACTATTTCAAGAATCTACTCTTTAAATTGTGTTCTATGATTATCAGAACGTTAATATGAATCTATGTATTACATTAAGTGTTAGATTAATTTTAATTAAAGTTGTTAAATATTATATTAATTAAAACTACTTACCCAATAATTAGTTGTAATTTTTCGTATTTTGAAGAAGAGAAAATTCTTTGTCAAGGATATAATGATTTTGTTCCCAAACTATATTAGCAGAGATATACTATTGTATTTTATATATTCTGAGACTTTGAAATGAGGAAGAAGACACAGGGGGCCTATTCTGAAAAAAAATTTTGTGGTAAATCAGTTTGTCACTTCAATCATTATTTACATTCAATACATATGAGTTCATTGTAAATGTTATTATAACACATTTTTGTTGGATACAACTATTTCAAGAATCTACTCTTTAAATTGTGTTCTATGATTATCAGAAAGTTAATATGAATCTATGTATTACATTAAGTGTTAGATTAATTTTAATTAAAGTTGTTAAATATTATATTAATTAAAACTACTTACCCGATAATTAGTTGTAATTTTTCGTGTTTTGTAATTGTAATTTTTTTTCAGAATAGGCCCCCAGTTAGACTAGCCTAGATGTAACGGATATTTTCTCTATTATGAATCTCCATGATCCAGCACATTATTTCAAAAAAACCGTAAAGTAAAATATAAAAAGAAATTGCGCATTATTCGCTCGTTACGTATCCGTTATTAAAAAAATACTTTGTCCCTCAGTTTCTGAAATATTGTTAAAAAAACTTGTCTATGTTAGACGGTTTAGTTTTAGTTTTACTAGATGGCGGTGAGTCTCTGACTGAGACGCCGATAAACCAAACCGTATGCTTGATTTATGCAAGACGGTGTGCCACGCATGCGTAGTAAGCCATACCATCTGTGCTGATATTGCAAAAAACAGTTATTTTGGTTCTATTGTCAAATCAAACCATGGTTATTTTGAACGAAATAAAATATTATTCTGTATGAAACAGTTAGGCGCAATCGTTTAGCGTGGTCTGAATGAAAAAAAATATGCTGCTGATGAGGAGAAAAAAAAATATTGAAAAAGCGTCTAGCACAAACAAGTTTTTTAACAATATTTCGGTAACTAAAGGTCGCGGTTTTTTCTTAATAACAGATTCATAACGAGCGAACAACACGGAATTTTATTATATAATGTACTTTACAGTTTTTCGTAAAAGTATGTCGCGGTCACGGAGATCTATACACTAATAGTACAGCTGTATATCTCTATAGTTAGTTTAGCATCATTTACCCGCCCGTTTTATTATTTATATGTGTTAGTTCTGTGAGATCAAGATGTAAGTACCAAAATATCAGTTTGTAGATTTATTCATTGTTTCACAGAATATTTTTATTTTAATAAACTGAATTTAATTGAATATTTCAGTTACGATAACCATGGAACATCGATATAACAAGAACAGATTTAATATAGCATTGAATACGCCAAGAACAACAAGATACAATCGAAGGAGAAGAGAGAGAGAAAGAGATCAAAGCTCTTCAGATTCCAGTGTTGATGATGAGAGATGGAGGAATAATTATGCAGTAAGTACAGAAACTTGGCAATATAATAGTAATAGCTTTATAAATAAACAATATTATAATAAAATTTTTTTTTTAATTTTTCTAGCAAGTTGCAAACATTTTGCAGAGGGTAAATAATAATTCTGATAGTGATGACTCTAATCTCAATGATGATGACTCTCATTCCAACTCATCTCTAGGCTCTAATGCAATGTCTATAGCAATATCAAATGTTACAGATAATGAATTACTTTCAAATTTAAATGAGGTACGTAATAGAAAATATTTACAGTGTTATAGCTATAATTATTTTTTTCCTAAGTACGTATATTTATATATTTTTTACAGGATGAAAGCTTGTCATCTGTCATATTGAATAACAATACAAGTTCTGAATCTGCAAGTGACATTAATGTAAGTATACGAAATTGACTAATTGCGAATACAAAAAGTATTATCATGGCATGGCATACGTACTTAAGACCACCATGGAAAAATTATGCTTGTTCAATGGCTTTACTAATATACAATTCTTAACTTATTTAATTGACGGTGGCTTCTTTAAAATTTTAAACATTTCTTGAAGTTCTGGGAAAGTTCATGTGCCATATATGCCATGCCTTTACTCCTCTATACCTAAAATGTGAACAATGTAATTGTATTCACAATAAACACAAACTTTATTTACATGTGTACACTCATACACGAATATTATTTTTTATTTTGTTTTTATTATTTATTGAATTATTTAATAGATATAGAAATAATAACGTTGCACTTTGTTGTAGAGTGAATCAATTAATGACAATATGCATATATGAGACTGATTTTATTTTAACTGAAAAAAATATTAACTTGTATGTACAAATTTGTGAAGTTATTTGCAATTAAAAATTTGACAACTAACATAATCTTTCTTTGAAACTTGAGTATTAAATCAAGGTCAATTGAAAATAATATGCACGTTTTTAACTAGAAAACTTTTTTTACTATTTTTTTTATTATGTAATTGTACACTGCAAAGTGCTAACTGTTGTTTGGAAAAAATTGTTTACTGCAAATTCTACCTTCGTCCAAAACTTTCCTTTCTATACACTGAAATTATTTAATAATGGCATGGAATTTTCAATACAAGATTACTTATTTTTTTAAATTCATAGCTTCTTATTAACACAAAGATAATACAATTTATACTTAGACAATAAATATATACACTGTGTGCATTGACATTGCTGTTACATATTATCATATTTTTTAATGAAACTATACACGTTATTATTTGCATGAAATAATTATTTGGTTTGTCTAAATAGTATTTGATGTCAAATGAGAGGACGGAAGTATTATTTAATAAGCTGAAGATCTTACTGAGCTGAGCTTAAATGTAATAATTAAAATTAAATCTAATTTCGTATTCAAAATCAATTTAAATCATTATTAAATAATTTCTATATCGAAAAGAATTTCTAGACTAAATTAGAATTAGCAACAAATAAAATTATAATGAATCAAAAAATGAATACTGGAAATTATTATTTAAAAATTATGGAAAATCACGGTATGAATATACGAATATAAAATAAAATGTTTTCCATGAAAAAAAGATGACGCCGTAAGAGGTTTAGGTTGCATGTTGCCTTGTTTTTCAATCAATTTTCCATACAACTATTACAATGAATCTATTATATTATAACTAGTAATATAAATGATTTAATTTCATTAGCTAATACAAATCTTCAAAATTAATATCAATATTTATATCTTATCTCAATTTCTTCTAGCATAGTACCAAAAAATCACGTTTTTTTTTTTATTAATAATCTTCTTGATTATTAAAACTATAAAAATGAGGAAAAAATCGTACAATGTGTTCAACCAAAAAATCTGAAAAATTGATCTTTTCAATAGAGATTATTTTTATTTTGACAATTTATGCTGTAAATTAAATGGAATTATTTTTGTTTTTTTGTTTTTGAAATATTTATATATTAGGTACCCTTTATTATGTGTCGCTTATCGAACCAAATGAAACCCTATAGTCACTTTCATGAAAAATATTGGAAGCAATGCTCATTTTGAACTTGAAAAAGTATCTAAAAATCCTTTTAAAATCTATTTAAAAAAAATGAAAATATTGAGTTCATTGCAAAAATTTTATTTTTTTCACACATAATATATGTTCAAAAATTAAAACAATTTGATTGATATATAAAAAAATAGAAATCGAGGTATAAAGCTACCTTGAATATTTAGCGTTCAACGGCTAATATAATATTTATTGTTATCAAGGATGACGCAAGGATAAATATACGTGAGCAACTTCTTCATGAGCAGGATGATGAGTTAGCTAGCGATGAAGATTGGGCAGAATACGAACCTATTTTCCAGGTGAATTTGAATGTGAGAGAAAATCCTTTGGAGGAGATGCTACACGATGACGATGCAAATGAGGCTCTCAATGTTCGCGTGAACATTACTAAAGCAGAAATATTTTTGGGAGTCTTAAAATTTTCCCTAGTCCATAAGCTGTCACAATCTGCAATAGCAGATTTATTTAAAATGTTGAACATATTTTTTAATAACAATATTTTACCTCAATCGCGATATTCAGTTAATAAATTATTCAACTTTGAAAATAATATAGATTATCATGCCCTATGTCCTAACTGTAAGGGTTATGTTAGACAATTTCATCGGGAACAGGATCCGAATGCACGTTGTGATCCTTGTAATTTAGAATTTTCTGTAACCGACCCTACGTATAGAGACTTTTTCTGCATAATAAATCCGGAAGAGGAAATAAGGCATTACGTTGAAGAGAATTGGTTATATTATCAGTCTGTAGTTGAAGCACGTGCTGACAACGCGGCTCATTTGAATGAATTCCACAATGGTTTGTTATACAAACGATTAAGAAACTCTCTGCCCGATGACCGGAAAAATCAATTTGTAACTGTGACATTCAACTGTGATGGTTCTCCTGTCTTTGAAAGCTCCAATTTCTCCATTTGGCCGATCCAAATAATAATAAATGAATTACCTTTTAAATTAAGAACCGCAAAACCGATTGTATGTGGTCTATGGTTTGGACGAAACAAACCAAACATGAACATGTTTTTGGAACCATTCGTTAATAGAATGAATGTATTTTCGGATGAAGGTATAACATGTAACATACGAGGCACACTTCATACTATTTATGTATATAGCATATGTTCTTGCGATGATTCTGTAGCTCGTGCCCCCATGCAAGGAATTGTTCAATTTAATGGATATTTTGGGTGCAACTGGTGTTTACATCCCGGTTATTACATAGCAGTAGGTCGAGGCGGCAGCGTTAAATATATATCATTAGATGAAGCAATCGAAGACAGAAACCATGCGGATACTTTGCGAGATGCTCGCCTGGCCGTAGAATTTGGGCAAGCTATCAATGGCGTTGTTAATGAATCAGTTCTTACTCGCTTAACACATTTTAATATCATTTCTGGTTTTGTGCCCGATCCTATGCATTTTATGGATTTGGGCATAGGCAAGCAATTCGCTAAATATTGGTTTGATACTAGTAATATGCCTTATTCATTAACTAATGCAGAAATCGACCGCATTGATGCGGTGTTAAGAAATATAACTGTTCCTAGCAAACTTATGAGAAACTCTCGTTCCATAAAAGATCGAAAATATTGGAAAGCAAAAGAATTTCAAAATTGGATTTTGTATTTCAGTATGGTCGTGCTTTTAATGATTCCTCGAATGAGAGTCTACGCGACACATTGGTCTTATTTTGTAAGAGCTTATTACATATTACTTCGAGATAATATAACTCGAGAACAATTACGCGAAGCGCATCGTTTATTAACACTGTTTGTAGCGTTAACTGAATTTTATTACGGAAGAAGCTCAATGACATACAATGTTCACCAGTTATTACATGCAGTTCAATCCACTATCAATTGGGGGTCATTATATTACCACTCTGGCTACGGGTTTGAGAACGGCAATGGGGAAATTGTGA